ATGCTATTACAAGCACAATCTAAGGATTCTTTTCTTTTTCTCCTCCTTTTTTCTTCCTCCTCCATTCTTTATATATTAGGTGTCATATTCTGTACTCTTTGTCCCTTGATTGACTTTGGGGATAGTTAATTTAATTTTGCATTTGCTTAGTAATTAGCTGTTCTACTTTCTTTACTGTGGTTTTATTACCTCTGGTGATGGCTATTAAACCTTAGGAACACTTCCATTTATAGCAGTCCCTCCAAAATAGACTGTAGAGATTGTTTGTGGGAAGTAAATTATCTCAGCTTTTGCTTATCTGGAAATTGTTTAATCCCTTCCTCAAATTTAAATGATAATCTTGCCGGATAAAGTAATCTTGGTTCCAGGTCCTTCTGCTTCATTGTATTAAATACATCATGCCACTCTCTCCTGGCCTGTAAGGTTTCTGCTGAGAAGTCTGATGTTAGCCTGATGGGCTTTCCTTTGTATGTGATCTAATTTCTCTCTCTGGCTGCTTTTAACAGTCTGTCCTTCATCTTTGCCATTTTAATTACTATATGTCTTGGTGTTGTCTTCCTTGGGTCCCTTGTGTTAGGAGATCTGTGGATCTTATGGCCTGAGAGACTATCTCCTTCCCCAGACTGGGGAGGTTCTCAGCAATTACCTCCTCAAAGACACTTTCTGTCCCTTTCTCTCTCTCTTCTTCTTCTGGTACCCCTATAATGCGAATATTGTTCCATTTGGATTGGTCACACAGTTCTCTCAATATTCTTTCACTCTTAGAGATCCTTTTTTCTCTCTGTGCCTCAGCTTCTTTGTATTCTTCTTCTCTAGTTTCTATTTCATTTATCATCTCCTCCACCATATCCAACCTGCTTTTAATACCCTCCATTGTGCTCCTCAACGATTGGGTCTCCGACTGGAATTCATTCTTGAGTTCTTGAATGTCTTTCCGTACCTCCATTAGCATGTTAATGATTGTCATTTTGAACTCCCTTTCAGGAAGAATCATGAGGTCCATGTCATCTTTCTCAGGGGTTATATTAATTTTACTCTGTACCAGGTTCCTTTGGCGTTTCATATTTGTGTATGGCGCCCTCTAGTCTCGAGAAGCTCTACTCTCTGGAGCTGCTTAGCCCCTTGAGGCAATGTTGGGGGTCACAGGGGAGTGGGATTGGTGCCTGGGTGGAGGAAAGAGCTGTTTCCTGCTTCCTGACTGCTATGCCTGTCTTCACTGCCTGAACCAGTGGGCCAAGCACACAAGTGTAAGTTTTTGTCCCAGAGCAGCCAGATAAGGATCCCTGCTTTCCACAGCAGCTGGAATCTCAGTCTCTCCAGGAATTCTGCCTCTCTTAGCTTTCCAACCCCATAATCATGAGAGTATCATGAAAGCATCATGAAATGTATGTTTGTGCTCCCAGAGCAGATCTCCGGAGTTAGGTATTCAGCAGTCCCAGGCCTCCACTCCCTCCCTGCTTGCTCAATTTCTCTTCCTCCGGCTGGTGAGCTGGGGTGGGGGAAGGGCCTGGGTCCTGCCGGGCCACAGCTTTGGTACATTACCCTGTTCTGTGAGGTCTGCTCTTTTCTCCAGGTGTATGCAGTCTGGTACAGTCCTCTTTCCTTTTGCTCTCTCAGGATTAGTTTTATTAATTATATTTTCATATTACATGCAGTTTTAGGAGGAAGCCTCTGTCTCACCTCTCATACCACCATCTTTAATCCTCTGTCATACATAGCTATTTTTATAAAAATTTTATTTAACGTGTAATATGTGTATTATCTTTAAATGAATAAAAATTTAAAAATATCTGAAGTTGAATTTCCATATGATAAATATTCATAGTTTTTTGGGATCCTAAGACTACAAGTTTGAGAAATGCTGATGTAGAATAGTGCCTGGCATATAAGTAATTAGTGAATATTTGAATGATTCTTGACCATTCACTTTTGTAAGTTGTTTATCTTGTCAGTAATATGTGTATTTAATATTGTATTTTTTCTGTTTCTTTTATGTAACTCTAGCAACGAAGTTGTTTTTCCATGTCTTGTCCTAGTTCTGAGATTCTCTTTTCTGTACCTCTGCTCAGGCAGGGCAGTTGGGCAGGCAATGAAAAGATAGGTGCAGGGACTGCTGTCATATTTTGAAATGTATGCTGATTAATTGAACAAGAAGAAAATAGATGAGCAGCTCCTGACTGAACATTATATCACTGTTGGCATAACTGGTTATATAAGTGGTCATGATTCACATAGTCACGAAATTTATAACTAAAAATAGTTTCAGTGTGTTATTCCCTGAAATGTAGTAAGACAACTGACATTTAGTGATTGTTGTAGATATTACAGATACCATGCCATTAGTGTGCTATCAGTAATAGACTTTGATATATTGAATACCTTTATTTTAATGTACTTTAACTGATAAATTAATATTTTCAATAGCCAAAGGGAATACACAAGAGTAGAAGACATACTGGTTGTGGAACCTTTTTAAAGTTTCATAGGGTAAAAATCAAAACAAGGAAAATACTGAATATATTTTAGACTTGAATCTGCATACTAGTAGATCATATTTTTGGAAGTAAATTAACTTCTCTAAAGTCTTCAGTAGGACATTTCAAGTGAAAAAATGTAATCCATTAAATAAGATTCTACTGTGCTGTTCTCATCTAACCTAAATGGTCTATATACATTTCTATAGCTAGTATTTTCAAAATTGAGAACATCTGTGGGAAACATCAAAGAATTCTTTAGAAAGAGGAATTTAGAAAGCCTTATGAAAGGTTGCTCATAATTAATTGGGCATGCCTGTACATATATATATAGTTTCTGCAACAGTTTTACAGCCTCATAAAAATCTTAAAACAGATGAGCAATCCTGTAATACAATTGAAAAGAGAAACAATAGTAAACGTAAGCACTTTTAAAATAAGAGCATCTACTGAATTGTAGTTAAGTTTGGCTTTTTAGCCTTGCATCTTATTACTGAAAGCATTCATTCTACATATTCTTGGATCCAGCTAGATGTTGAACATGGAGGGTTGACGAATATATGACCCCTGAAGTAGAAATGGAAATGTGCTACCCAGGTTCCCCTTAAAGAAGTGTTCAGTGTCTTGATGTGTGGAGTTGGATCACCAGGGAATCCCTTCTACCCACATCTTAGAGTCTGCCTTAGCTGCAGAGCCACCTGCCCTGAGGTCATGACCCCCATGGAGCTAGCCTGCATTTGCACACTGAGCAAGGAAGAGATACAAAGACCTAGCCCTTTCAACCTATCACAGAGTACTCTGATGGACAGTATTTGCTTCAGGGCTTCCCACCTGGTTAGTATATTTGGTTGGGCCTGCGTCATAGTTTTGAGTTATATCCAATCTTGCTTTCTTTGCCTTCCTTTCACAGCTGTGATCCCCAGTAAACATTTTTTACCCCAAACATCACTTCGTCTCTACTTTGGAGAAACCAACCTGCAATAGCTCCTGATCTCATAGAACTAATTTACTGCAAGGAAGTATACATCAAACAAGATTTTAAATGTGATCAATGTTGTATAGCAGCATAGGGTATTAAGGTAGTGTGTTAAATAAACAACCTAAACCTGGTTATTATGTTTAGAGAAGCAGCCTGATTAGTAGTCAGGGTTCAAGTGCCAGATTATTAACTACTTTGAGTAGCATGAACCTTGGGCATCGTACTTTTTCCATGCCAGTTTTTTCATTTGTAACATGGGAATGACACATGGGCTTTCATCTTTTAGACAACTAACCTGAAATTGCTCATATGGCTCATTCCTGCTCCTTCCCAGAAGCGAGAGAGAGGGGCTTAATGCACAAATATTTTTCATGCCATTGTTTGTGTTGGTTTGTTAATGTCCTGCTGGCCAAAGCAGTTCATGTGGCCAAACTTATTTCACAGATGGACAAGTAGACTCCAGCTCTCTATGGTAGAATGTGTTAAATAAGTGCCTGGGTATGTGTATGCAGAACTTACCACATAATGCTTGATACATGATAGTAGTAGCTAACATTTTATTGAGCACTTTCTATAATTAATGCTTAGTAAGAGGCAGCTGGACCTAATATATATTTAATATATTCTATCTCTGTATATATGAAGAAGAAGAAACTCATTTGGAGAATTGGGTAAATTTTTTGGATATCTGAAAATAATTTTTTGATGAGAACAGTTTTCAAATAAAGTTCTCTCCTTTCTTTTTCTCTACAGTAAGAAAACTGGAAAACCACCATTACAGAACAATGAGGTAAAATTTCAAATCATCTTCTCTTTGGAATTTAATGCATCTATTCCATTATATAATCTTGTATTAGGATAATATCATAGAATTTTACAATTAGAAGGGAACTTAAATATCATCTCTAATCCACTACATATTAGAGATGGATTATTAGAAGAATCCAGTAGGAATTCTTTCTGAAATAGAACTCTTCTAGTTTTTATTGGAATCTCTTCATTTGATGCAGCATCTTAGGAAGCAGCCATAATTGTATTAGTTCTAGCCCATGATAAGATTAATCTTCCCCCCCTCTGCCCTCTTAGTGATTGACTCTATTTTTGTCTTTTGTAGCAACAGAGGGCAAGTCTGCTCTATTTTCTGTAATAGACTTTCATATTGTTTGAAAATAGTTTTATCTTCCAAGTATTTTTTTTTCCTATGCTGAGCAGCCCTCATTCCTGCAAGTGTTTCTCACATGACATGGTTTCTGATCCTTTTTCAATTCTGTATATATTCTTCTGGGCCTGTACTAGTTAGTTTTCTGTAGACATTATGCTTAGAATAGAATGTAGTTGTCCAGACGTGGTTTGACTAACATGGAATTATGTCAGCATGATTACATCTCTTGATATGAACACATATTGCTAAAATTCAGCCAAAAATTGCTTTTACTTCTTTAGCGGTAACTGCTGTTAGTGTTTATGGTAAATTATAACTTTCTGGTATCTTTCTGAAAAACAGCTTGATTGACACATCCCCTACATATTATTCATTAGTTGATTTTTTCTTTTTTTTTCAATAGCAGCTTTGTTGAGATGTAATTCATATATCATAAAAGCCAGCCATTTAAATGTACAATTCTGTGGATTTACTATATTCGCAGAGTTGTGTGGCCATCACCACTATCTAGCTTGATTCTTTTTTTCATCTTTAGTTTTTTTCCTGGTAATATTTTCAAGGTCTATTTATTTAGAAAAAATTTTTATAGAGGTATGTACAACAAAATGCACAAATATTAGTGTATAGCCCCATGCATTTTGACATGGGTATACACTCATGTAACCATTACCTAGATCAAAATATCAGACAGTATTTTCCCCCTTCACGTATTTCACCATGTCCTCACCCCCTCCCCTATAGCAGCCAGCAGTGTGTTCTCTGTGTCTATGAGTCTATTTCTGTTTTATTCATTTGATTTTGTTTTTGGATTCCACATGTAAGTGAAATCATACAGTATTTGTCTTTCTTTGTCTGACTTATCACTTAGCATAATACTCTCTAGTTTTCTTCTGCCTGGCTTATTTCACTGAGCATAATACCCTCTAGATTCACCCATGTTGTTGCAGATGGCAGGATTTCTTTTCTTTTTATGGCTGAATAATATTCTGTCATGTACATGTACCACATCTTATTTATCCATTCATCTCCTGATGGACATTTAGGTTGCTTGCATATCTTGGCTGTTGCAAATAGTGCAGCAATAAACATAGGGGTGCATGTATCTTCAAATCAGGGATTTTGTTTTCTTCAGGTAAGTTCCTAGGAGTGGAATTACTGGGTCAAATAGTATTTCTATTTTTAGTTTTTTGAGGAACCTCCAGATTGCTTTCCACAATGGTTGCACCAATTTACATTGCCACCAACAGTGTTGCAGGGTTCCCCTTTCTCTGCATCCTCGCCAGCATTTGTTGTTTATCTTTTGGATAGTGGCCATTCTGACTGGTGTGAGGTGATATTTCATTGTGATTTTAATTTGCATTTCCCTGATGATTAGTGATATGGAGCATATTTTCATGTGCCTGTTGGCCATTTGTATTTCTTCTTTGAAGAAGTGTCTCTTCACGTCCTCTGCCCGGTTTTTAATGGGGTTGTTTTTTGGTTGTTGAGGCTTAAGAGTTCTTTATATATTTTGGATATTAACCCCTTATTAGATGGGTCATTTACAAATTTATTCTCCCATACTGTAGGTTGCCTTTTTGTTCTGCTGATGGTGTCCTTTGCTGTGCAGAAGCTTTTTAGTTTGTTGCAGTCCCACTTGTTCATTTTTTGTTTTGTTCCCCTTGTCTGAGGAGATGTATCCAGGAAAAATTTCTCATGCATATATTTAAGAGATTTTTACCTATGTTTTCTTCTTAGAGTCTTATGATTTCATGACTTACATCCAGGTCTTTTATTCCTTTCAAGTTTACTTTTGTATATGTAGTTAAACAATAATCCAGTTTCATTTTTTTACATATAGCTGTCCAGTTTTGTCAACACCAGCTGTTGAAGAGGATGTTTTTTCCCCATTGTATATTCATGGCTCCTTTGTCATATATTAATTGATCATAGATGAATGGGTTTGTATCTGGACTCTTGATTCTGTTCCGTTGATCTATGGGTCTGTTCTTGTGCCAGTACCAAATTGTTTTGATTCCTGTAGCTTTGTAGTAGAGCTTGAAGTCAGGGAGCATAATCCCCCCAGCTTTGTTTTTCTTTCTCAGGATTGCTTTGGCTGTTTGGGGTCCTTTGTGTTTCCATATGAATGCTAGAACTATTCCAGTTCATGAAGAATGCTTTTGGTATTTTGATAGGGATTGCACTGAATATGTAAATTCCTTTGGGCAAGATGGCCATTTTGACAATATTCATTCCTCCTGTCCATGAGCACGGGACACATTTCCATTTATTGGTATCTTCTTTAATATCTCTCATAAGTGTCTTGTAATTTTCAGAGTAAAGGTCTTTCACCTCCTTTATTAGGTTTATTCCTAGGTATTTTATTCTTTTTGATGCAAGTGTAAATGGAGTTTTCCTGATTTCTCTTTCTGCTAGTTTGTTGCTAGTATATAGGAATGCAGTAGATTTCTGTGTATTAATTTTGTATCCTACAACTTTTCTGGATTCAGTTATTCTGAACTAGTTTTTGAGGTTTTGTATGTATAATATCGTGTCATCTGCAAATAGTGACAGTTTAACTTCTTCCTTACCAATTTAAGTGGCTTTTATCTCTTTGTATTGTCTGATTGCTGTGAATAGGACCTCCAGTACTATGTTGAATAAAACTGGTGAGAGTGGACATCCTTGTCTTGTTCTCAATCCTACAGGAAAAGCTTTCAGCTTTTTACTATTAAGTATGATGATGTTGGCTATGGGTTTGTCATATATGACCTTTATTATGTTGAGGTAAGTACCCTCTATATGCATTTTGTTAAGGGTTTTTATCATGAATTGATGTTGAATTTTGTCAAATGCTTTTTCAGCATCTGTTGAGATGATCATATGGTTTTTATCCTTCTTTTTGTTAATGTGGTATATGATACTGACAGATTTATGAATATTGTACCATCCTTGCATCCCTGCAATAAATCTGACTTGGTCATGATGTATGATCTTTGGGATGTATTTTTGAGTTTGGTTTGCTAATATTAGTTTGAGGATTTTTGCATCTATGTTCATCAGGGATATTGGTCTGTAATTTTCTTTTTTGTTGTGTCTCTGTCTGTTTTTGGTATTAGAGTGATGCTGGCCTCGTAGAATGAGTTTGGAAATATTCCTTCCTCTTGTACTTTTTGGAATACCTTAAGAAGGATGTGTATTAGCTCTTCTATAAATGTTTGATAGAATTTGGCTGTGAAGCCATCTGGACCTGGCATTTTGTGTTTTTGGAGTTTTTTGATTACCAATTCAATTTCATTGCTGGTAATTGGTCTGTTCAGATTTTCTGTTTCCTCCTGGGTCAGTCTTGGAAGGTTGTATTTTTCTAGGAAGTTGTCCATTTCTTCTAGGTTGTCCAGTTTGTTAGCATATAGATTTTCATAGTATTCTCTAATAATTGTTTGTATTTCTGTGGTGTCCATTGTGATTATTCCTTCTTTGTTTCAGATTCTATTTATGTGTGTACATTCTCTTTTTCTTGATATTTCTTGATAAGTCTTGCTAGGATTTATCTATTTTGTTTATTTTTGCAAGGAACCAGCTTCTGATTTCATTGATTTTTTTTCTCTATTTTGTTTATTTCTGCTCTGATCTTTATTATATCCCTCCTTCTACTGACTTTGGGTTTTCATTTATTCTTCTTTTTCTAGTTTCTTTGTGATTTTAGACTGTTTATTGGGATTCTTCTTGTTTCTTGAGGTAAGCCTGTATTGCTATGTACTTTCCTTTTAGAACTGCCTTTGCTGCAGCCCACAGATTTTGGGTCATTGTGTTTTTATTTTCATTTGTCTCCATGTATTGCTTGGTTTCTATTTTAATTGGTTCATTAATCCATTGATTATGTTTAGTCTCCATGTATTTGTAGGCTTTTTGTTTTCTTTGTGTAATTTATTTCTAGTTTCATACCATTGTGGTCTGAGAACCTGCTTGATGCAATTTCAGTCTTTCTGAATTTATTGAGGCTCTTCTTGTGGCCTAGTATGTGATCTGTTCTGGAGAATATTCCATGTACTCTTGAGAAAAATATACCCTGCTCCTTTTGGGTGGACTGTTCTGTAGATGTCTGTCAAGTCCATTTAATCTAATGTATTGTTTAGTTCTTCTGTTTCCTTGTTTATTTTCTGTCTGGTTGATCTGTCTATTGATGTGAGTGGTGTGTTAGTTTCCTCAATGAATGTGTTGCAATCTGTTTCCCCCTTTAATTCTGTTAGTATTTGTTTTACATATTTAGGTTCTACTATGTTGGGTACATAGATATTTGTGTCAGTTATATCCTCTTATGGGACTGAGCCTTTTACCATTACATCATATACTTTTTTGTCTTGTTACTTTGTTTTGAAATCAATTTTGTCTGATATAGGTACTGCTAATCTTGCTTTTTTCTCCCTATTATTTGCATGGAGTATCTTTTTCCATCCCTGCATTTTAAGTCTCTGCATGTCTTTGGGTCTGAAATGAGTCTCTTGTAGGCAGCATATAGATGGGTCTTGTTCTTTATCCGTTCTGCCACTCTGTGTCTTTTGATTGGTGCATTCAGTCCATTCACGTCTAGGTGTTTATTGATAGATATGTACTTACTGCCATTTTAATAATTGTTTTCTGGCTGTTTTTTATAGCTCCTATCTGTTCATCTCTTCCTCTCTTATACTCTTCTCTTGTTATTGATGGTTTTCTTTAGTGTTGTAATTGAATTTCTCTTTTATGTAGGTATGTGTGTGTGTATTTATTGTAGGCTTTAATTTTGTTGTTGCCAAAGGTTCAGGGATAGCTTTCTTACTGTAATAGTCTATCTTAATTATATAAGCAGTGCATGCAGAGAAGATCCTTGGGGCTGTGTTGCCAGCAAGGGGAATGGAGCATCTGGCCTCCCGGCAGTACCTGATCTCTTGGGACAAGGAAGGGCTGGGAGGGGCATCCTCCACCTGCCTTTCTCCTGAGGAGAGACTTCCATCTAACCCTCATTCCGCTGGCCTCCCTCCCATTGCTGGCAAGACTTTCAAACTGCCACTCTACTTTGGGTCTCAGGGCTGGCGGAGCATGCCTGGCCTTCACAGTGGCTGGAGCCTCAGCCTCCTGGAGTGTTCCACCTGTCCCTGGTGTCCAGCCCCACTAATCACTGGAACCCAATGTGATGTGGGTTCATGCTCCTGGAGCAGATCTCCGGGGCCAGGTGTGCAGGGCTCCTGGCTGTGCTCCTCCACCCTCCCCGCTCTGTTCCCCTTTCTCCTGGCTGTAGGCTGGGGAGTGGTGAGGGTCTGGGTCCAGATCTGGATCTCGGTTCTGCCACTTTACCCTTTTCCATGTGGACTTCTCTTCTTCCTCAGGTATAGGTGGTCTGTTCTGCAGTCTTCAAGTCATTTTCAAGTTGAGATGTATTTGCTGTATTTACTTCTTTTATGTGTCTTTGGGAGGAGGTTTCCACCTTTCCTTCCCTCCACCATCTTTTTTCTGGACCTCACCTTATTGGTTTATTTTTATCTGTTTCCCCAGATAAAGTATGAGCTGTGTGAGTGAAGGAAGCTTGTCTGTCTTTGAATTTATGAGAAAGAGTGAACTGGCAGATTGCATATTGGAAATGATAAACGATAAAACTAGGAATCTAAAAGCTTCCTGTATAATTACTATCAGGGAAATTCTTGTTCAGGATTTTAAAAAATTCTGCTGTTAATCAGAAAGTGGGTGATAAACAGTAAGTACGTGTCTCTCTGACCTCGTCTTCCACACTCTCTCTTGATTACCGCCCCAGCCAGACTGGCTGTTGTGTTGTTCCTCAAGCACATTAAGCAGGCTTTCACCTTGGTGTTTTATACTTGCTGCTGCTTCTGCTTGTGGTGTTCTTCTCTCAGGTAGTCCCATGGCTCTGGAGCTCCTTACTCAGGTTTTGATAAAAGCATGTATGAATATGAAGAGAAGTACAAGTCTGTGCTCTGTAAATGCAGTATCCATCTTGATATTTGTTTATATTGATTTAGATGAAACATAGTTCTTTGATTTTATTGTTGTAGATTTATTATACCATTCTTAAAAGCTTTTTATTTTGTTTTAATGTAGAAAGAGGGAAAAAAAGAACGTGCTGTGGTGGACAAAGTGTTTTTTTTAAGGCTCGCACGGATTCTGAAAATTATGGTTCCTAGAATGTTTTGTAAAGAGGTGAGTCATATGATAAGTGTTTGATTTTCAAGATTACATGAGAGCAGAACAGTACAGTTATAAAGCTTTTGTTATGCTTAGGTCAAATGTTTTCTATGTAGGTAGTGAAGACTACTAAATATTTTTCTTGTGCAGGTACCCATGTTGAGTGCCAGTTCTTAATTAGTTTTCTCTTGTTTATGAAATGTTATGCTATAATGTTTTTTGTGAAATACTGGAGTACTTCAGTACAGCTACTCTGAATGCTATTGCTTTATTATAAATACTATTAATAAAAACAGGATTATATTCAAAATGACAAATCTTTTTATTGAGATGTTAATGAGTCACATTGACATGGAATATGTTTATTAAATGTATTTTTAAGATAACCAGAATGCTATCTGAATTTTTCAAGTATTTTCAGGAAATAAAGTTGTAGGAGTAAGCTTTATTATCTTTTCCTTTGTCCTTTTATTAAGATCATTATATTTGATAACTACTTTTAATGATTAAAAAATATTAAAATGATGCGGTATACTCCATCTTTAATCACCTTTTATACAGCCAGAAATATCATCTTTGGACAAAGATTTCTCCTCCCCGTACCTCATTCTTTCCGTTACTGGGATCTGATAATTTTTCTTTCTAAATAGTCTTTCCTCAATATTACAGTGTTTTTTAGTCTCACTTCAAAGAATCTCCTGTTCAATCTTTTCTACCAAATTTTTCTTCTTAAAACATAATGTTGCCCACTGTTTAAATTTTAGAAAGCATTAGCCTTACGATCTGTTACTAGTAGGAAAAGCTTAAGATGTCCCAAAAACCCTATGATTCCTGCAGAGAATGCACATTCCTTCATCACACCGGGCTTGCTCTCCTTTTCCCTCACTTCAGCACCATGCTTGTTGGTTCTACCCTTAAGAAACTCTAAAAAAGGATTTAATAACATTTTATTTTTCCCTAATTAGAGATAATATATGGTCCTTGAAGAAAAATTGGAAAATACATATAAATATCTTTCATCTTGGTGCCTGTTAGCCTCCCACTTATAATTCTATCATTATTTTAGTGTATAGTTTTCTTGTATGAGAGCATATATTTTAATAAAATGAGATCATACTGCCACTCTGTAAATTTGCTCCCTCCCTTATATTTTAAATGTTTTATCCAAGTATCCTTGAGTTCTCTTAGTGTCTATCTTTCCATTTCCTCTGTTCTCACTATGTCTTGCCTGGATTACTGTAATCTCCTAATTGGTCTTTTTGCCTCTTCCCCTAGCCTTCTTTCTAAAACCCTAATGAAAACATTTGGCTTCATTTTTCTTATAGGGTAGCCCACAATCTTACTTGGACCTTCCTTTCAGTATCATCCACTCAGACAGTTCTTTGCTGTTTTATGCTGAGGCTCTGTGCTCTTATGCTCTAATGACCTCATATCTGTGACAATCTGACCCCCTTCCCCAGTAAAACAAATTTGTTTAAAAAAGAGCTTAATGTTCATGATCTTTGTGAAGAATTTCCATGTGTCTTCAGGCATAATGAATCATTTTCTCAGTTTACAACCCACCTGGCTTTAAAAGAATCCTTATTTAAAATGCAAGCTTCTATGGAAAGAGTCCTATCAGTTAATAGCTTAATGCTCACTTAACCTGCTAGCAGGGGTTTGCAGAGCATGAAATGAATGTGAGACATTGAGTAGATCTCTGAAGTTAGTAAGGAAGGTAGAAGGGCCTAACTTGGTCAACCTTCTAGTTTTATCTACATCTAGCCATGCCACAGAGTCATTTTGTAATCTGTTTGAGAGATACAAAAATCTAAGTTTAACTCCAGCTCAAGACAATGAAATGAACTTCCTTAAAAGTCAAATAATAATGGAGGTAGTTAGAGAGAGATTAATTGACTTGTGAACAGAAATGTGTATATGAATATGGAGAAGTTCATACATATCATAAGGTGAAAGACTGCCTAAATCTGTGCAGATCTTTAGATTCTGACATATTTTATGGACCCATTAATAATGGGAATAGTGATGGTTCTAAGGACATCCTTTGTATAAAGACATTTCAGGACTGTCAGTAATCAGTTTGTCAGATTTTGCTAAAGTGAAACAAGTAAACCTAGTATTTATTTTAAGGAAAATTAAATCAAGAACGTAAGATGAAGGGAAAAAATAAAAAATCTTTGTTTAATGTTACTTTTATACCTCAAATGATTAATTTAGGATTGAGACTGTATTTAAGTCTGAATTAACACTTAACATTACCAGTTAAAGTGCCACCTACAGATAGCATTTATTAAAGTTAATAGGTTCTTCTCTTACCAATTTAATTTAATTTAATGTAGTTTAATACCTAACTTTGAGATGGTGGAATACCTCGCTGGCAACTCTGACAAACACTAAGGTAGCAGCTGTCACCACTCAGTTACCCAGATTTTCTTTGATATTGTTGTCTTCTTTATGGCTTTATTATTACTTCACGTTATGACTCCCTGCCTTATCTTTCACTTAAAGGGCTGTATTTTCAGTTCCTTCATATTTTTTAAAACAATATTTGTTTTTGTAAAAATCGCATAAGAAACAAATGCTGAATCCTATAACTTTGAAATGAAACACCTTATCCTACAAATATCCTCCCTACCACATGCCCTTTTTCCTGACTTTAGCTTTTTTATGTTACTGTCATTATTCTTCCTATTTAGAAAGTTGAAGGTCACCTTTGAGTGTGTGTGTGCAAGGTTGGAGGGTACGTTTTCTTATCACACAGAGGGATAATTGATTCTTATTCACCCTCCATCCCCTTTGATAACCCATTTTCTGTAGCATTTCTTAAGTAATGTTCCCCAAACACCTTTTAACATTTTGTTCTCTCTGGAAGCTTGCAGTAGTTTTATATTGCCAAAATTCTGCTGGATATGCAATATCATAATTCATATGGTTTTGATCTGTTATTTTCCATAGATCCTTCACCTTTTTTACACTCATAATCTTCATTTTCTCCTTTGTTTTGTTTGGCCTATTTAATATTTTCTAATGGCATAATCCTCTTGTGTTACCCCAGACCTTCTTATCCTTCCAGTTATTACATGAAGCAATGCAAATATATTTACTTGAATTGCTATTTTCTTATTTTTTATGTGTAAATCTTGCCTTAATAACTAAATTGAAAGCCCTGTGAGGACAGAGCCACTATTGGAGACTTTTTAACAAATTATACCAAATTTATTCTACTTAGGCAAAATTTTAGACTTCAGTAGCTGTTAGTTTAACTGTATATAGAGTTATTGTCATTTTTCTTTATTAGGCTTGTATATTAAAAATACAAGGCAATCACAATACACTGTGATTCAGGTAATCTACATTATGCTGCCAGCTTCTGTAATTTACTAATCGTATGAAAGTTGTTTATCTGCCTGGGATTCACTTTTGAGTTCTGGAAGACAAAATGATCTATCCTTTTCTATTTATATTTTTAAATTTGTAAAGAGTTGCCTAATAGGTGAAATATCACCCAACTATATTAAAGCTAAAATAAAGCTTAGAATTTAGAAACCAGAAACTCTTAACAAGGTCGTGTTTCTTATAATTTCTAAATTTATTTAATTTATTATACCTGGTTTATTTTAGACAGGTTACTTGGTACTTATTGCTGTTATGCTGGTGTCTCGAACATACTGTGATGTTTGGATGATTCAAAATGGAACACTCATTGAAAGGTACATTTCTACTCACTTTCCTCCTACATGTATGGAAAATAATTTGTTTCATATTTAAGCATTATCTTAATAAGGAAAAAGTAGGTTCTAAATTAGGTGTAAGTATTAAGTCAAATTATGAATTTGTTCATTTACTTAATAGATATTTATCAAGTGCCTCCCATGTGCTAGGCATTTTGCTATTCTACTATAAAGACATACCAGTGAACAGGAGACACCCTGTACCAAGCCCTGCAGAGCTGACAATTTATAGACGGGTAGAAACAAATAAACAGAAAAATTTAAATGCAGTATAAATAAATGCCATAGTGGGGGTTTAAAAAATAGTCACTAAGTTGGGTGTCTGAAATTAATGAGGTGAGTTGGAGGAAAATGTCAAAGCATTTCAGGGACTTATATTGAGAATATTTATTAGAAGGAAAAAAAAATTTTTAGACATTTCCTTCAGTTTCTGAAGTTAGTACTGTGTGTATTTTTTCATTATAGTCTTCTACATACTTTGTCATTAATCAGTGTAATTGATCATTATGAATTTTAAAACTTTTAGTTGGGATATTAACATTTATTTGTTAATAAAGAATTTATTCCTTATGATACCAAGTTGAATATCACAGTAAAACATTTTTCTTGAAATTCTGTTTCCTGACATATAATGTTTTTCAGAAAATTTCTTAAAAAATTTAAACTTTGAATGACAGTAAGATTTCTAAGTACTCCCAAATTTGAAATAAAGATTTTATTCCTCATATACTTCATTTGCTTCTTAGAGGATTTGTAGGATGAGGAAGAATACTTTGTCCACACATTTTCTGACTTCTTTCTTTCAGAGAATAAAAAGCATATCTTCATAGATTTAAAGCCCTGACCACATGCCTCAGAATATGTGTAATTGTGTAGGCTCTTGAATTCAACATAGATCTCCCTGAAACCTGTCATCAATCCCATGCCTTTTATTTTAATCAAAGTAAACAGCTTGAAAAGTAATACATGAACATAGCTTAAAGTCAGATAGTCTTAGGACTTAATCGGGATCACATCTGTTCTCTGCCCCATTCTTCTCTTTCATTCCCAAACGAATCATTTTTTTATTCTTTACACTATTTCATCTCTTACTTTATTTCTGCATTTTAGTGTAACATTCTTGTGTTACTATTTCTAGATTTTTTAGTTTGAGAGAGTATATGTTTATTTCCTACTTGGAAATATGAGGAGAAACTACTTTACAGTCTTGCCATCCTTGTTCATCCTGTCAAGGTGGTTATTGCATTTTTTGTTAAGTCAGAGTTTATTAATTACATGATTTTGATTATTGTTTACAGCTGAGTCACATGCTCTTCTTTGGTAATTTCTTTTATATACATTTATAAATTGCAAGTTTCTGTTTGTATGCTTTAGTTTTTTGCCTGCTTATTATTAATTCATCTCAAGCTTATGGACAACATTATAAAACTTCAGTGTTGTAATATGGTCAAATGCACCACATAATCAATCTATCAATTTTTATCTCTCTATTATCACCCCACCCATATCTCTTGTTAGTCTCTCATCTTCCTGTTCTCATCAGGATTGATGCACTCTAGGCCCACTCAGTAGCAGTCATGTTTGAATTTACTTTTATCATGATCTTGAAAATATTTTCATCTTTTTCTCTGCACTAAATAACCTGTTTTCTGGATCTTTTGTTTTCCTCAGTTTACTTTTCCATTTTGGCAAATGGCAGCTTTTTTCTGAGAAAGGGTACAAGTAAATTTCTGAGACTTGTGGATCTGATAAAGTCTTTCTTTTGCACCTTGACTGATGATTAGCTGTATTCATATATTCCAACTTGGAATTTGGAAAGCATGTTGAAAGCCTTACTTGTCTTCTCACGCTGTTGAGTTCAGTGGTTCTCACCCTTGGCTGCAAGATGATGATCATCATTTGGTGAATTTTAAGAATAAGGGATTTTGATTCAGTTAGTCGCTACTTTTTAAAACATCCCATGTAATTCTAATATGCAGCCAAGGTTAAATACTAATCTGGCTTCCACATTGGATGTTAAGGCCCATTCCTGTGCTGATTGCTTTTTCCTTAGCAGCCGATGTGTATTTTACTGCCTTTGGAAGCTTTTATGATCATTTTTTTATTGTCGATGTTATATTGCTAGTGTTTGTGAATTTTACTGAATGTAGGTGTGAATTTTTTTTTCATTCATTTTTCAGGGCACTAGGTGAGCTTTCTCAAACTAGAAACTCATTCTTCATGCTGAGAAATTTTCTTGTGTTCAAAAGAAAATTCTTCATTTTCATTTTTTTCTGCACTTTTTTCCTGGAATCTTTATTAGTTGAGTGTCGGACCCCCTGGACTGATGATCTGATAATGTTATGAATTCTCTGTTTCCACCTCTGATATTTATTCTATATTCTAGGAGATCTTATATCTTTTAACTTTATTATCCAATGAACTTGTTTTTTGTTAAAATTTCATTTCTAAGACTTATCTTTTTGTATGGATGTTCATTTTTATAGCAGTCATTCTTTGAAGTCTGTGGCTTTTTTTTTTAAGCTCCCTGTATTGTTTCTGTTTTTTCAAGGTCTTCCGTTTGTTGTTTTGATCCTTTGCATTAGTGTTAGAAGCTTTTCTCAAGCAGTCTGTCACTCTTGGCTGTGTATTCATATTTAAAAGTGAAGGCCTAAAAAATTTATAGAAGACACAGTGAGGGCTAGTTTATTGTCTGGTTTCCCTTGCAGGGTGTTTGTAGGGGGAGTTTTGTCATTTGTGTGTGTGTGTGTGTGTGTGCGCTCTGCTGAGGAATTCTCTAACAAATTTCAACTTAAGCATAAGCATAATTGAAATGCTTGTTCCTTGCCCAAGAATGTCACCTTCAGGAGGGTCAATTTTATTGCTAGATTCTGTTTTTATGAGCCCTGTGCGTTGTATGAGCTCAAGTAATTTGAGTCTTTTGTATAATTAATGTAGAGGGGACATTTATGCCCTTTTATATGATTGTAGAATTTTATATTTTTTCTTTTGATAAATTATTTAAATGCCATATGTTAATAGTGATATGGACTCCCCAACTCTGGCATTGTTAATTACCTGTAGCAAAAATATACAGTTTATATCCAATTTAACAACATGCTAAATGTATGTAGAAACAGTAACATATACATAGAACTCTTCACAATCATGATTAAGTATAGAAGATTAGTTTATTTTTTAATTTCCCTTTCATTCAGATTTTGTGATTTCATGTTTTTGTAATCCAAAAATACCTTCTAAGCTAGGAATTTTTAACAAATTGAATAGATGCTAATTTAAATTTTCTCAAAGACTTAATGCCCTGGAGAAAAGGCATTGCTGAGAGTAGATGGTGCATTAATTTAATTGGTGATGGTGGACAAGAGGAAAGTTATTATGTAGCGTGACCCAGCTTATATTATAATTCTGCTAGATAGAGTAATCAACTTTTTAGGTACTCCATTTTTTTTTTTGTATCATTAATCTACAATTACATGGGCAACATTATGTTTACTAGACTCTCCCCATCATCAAGTCCCCGCCACATACCCCATTACAGTCACTGTCCATCAGCGTAGTAAGATGCTATAGAATCACTACTTGTCTTCTCTGTGTTGTACAGCCCTCCCCATGCACTCCCCTACATTATGTCTGCTAATAGTAGTGCCCCTTTTTTTCCCTTTATCCCTTCCTACCCACCCATCCTCCCCAGTCCCTCTCCCTTTGGTAACTGTTAATCCATTCTTGGGTTCTGTGAGTCTGCTGCTGTGGGTACTCCATTTTAAAATTCAGTTTTGAGATGTAGAAAAAATGAAAAAATTTATTAAGAGTTTCTAAAATAAATTTTGATACTAAAAATTTAAATATAGAGAAAAGGTTGCAAGACTAATACAAGGAACTTCCTTATACTCTTAATCCAAATTTACCAATTGTGAAATGGTTATTTTGAAGTTAATTGTTAACTTCTCCTTAATAAATATTTTTGAGCTTCTGTTATGTATATTTGGTATTTGGTCAAATTAAACATTTTTAAATATTGTGATTCCATAATATGGAATAATTTTATTTAAAAAGTTAACTCATTTCTCTACCTTGCTACTAAAGCTACATTGTAAATTGATATATCTGTCTTCCATTTATCTGTCTTTTCCTTTTTGCCTCTTTAAAAGAGTAGGAGTGGGTTTAGATCTGTGTATTTCTGCTAAAAAAGAGTCTCAAAAAGACTTGTTATGGTTCTTAATGTACTTCATTTTAATATCCTTCATATCTTTTAAGCTAATTTTTTAGCAGTGGCTAATGACTTTGAAGTATGGGCAGATTTTAATGGGACAATACCCCTTCTTTAAGTAAGGTAGAAAATGTGGTTATTCCATGACATGGAGGGGACTCCTTCCTATCATATTGCTGCTGTATGTAATCATAAAGATATATTTTATTTTCACTCATTTGGCTACAACAGCATCTTCTTTTATTAAGGTGTCATTGATATTACACTCTTACAAAGGTTTCACATGAAAAACAATGTGGTTACTACATTCATCCATATCATCAAGTCCCCCCCATAACCCATTGCAGTCACTGTCCATCAGTGTAGTAAGATGCCACAGAGTCACTACTTGTCTTCTCTGTGCTACACTGTCTTCCCCATGACCCCCCACACCATGTGTACTAATCAGAATACCCCTCAGTCCTCTTCTCTGTTCCTACCCACCCACCCTCCCACACCCCTCCCCTTTGGTAACCACTAGTCCCTTCTTGGAGTCTGTGAGTCTGCTGCTGTTTTGTTCTTTCAGTTTTTCTTCATCATTATTCCACAAATGAGGGAAATCATTTGGTACTTGTCTTTCTCTGCCTGGCTTATTTGACTGAGCATAATACTCTCTAGCTCCATCCATGTTGTTGCAAATGGTAGGATTTATTTTCTTCTTATGCCTGAATAATATTCCGTTGTGTTTATGTGCCACACCTTCATTGTCCATTCATCTACTGATGGACACTTAGGTTGCTTTCATATCTTAGCTATTATAAATAGTGCTGCGATAAACATAGGGGTGCAAATGTCTTTCTTAGTCTGAGAACTTGTTTTCTTTGGGTAAATTCCTAGGAGTGCTATTCCCGGGTTAAATGGTATTTCTAGTTTTAGTTTTTGAGGAACCTCCATACTGATTTCCACAGTGGTTGAAGTAGCTTATATTCCCACCACAGTGTAAGAGGGTTCCCCTTTCTCCATACCCTCACCAGCATTTGTTCCTAGTCTTTTGGATGTTGGCCATTCTAACTGGTATGAGGTGATATCTCATTGTGGTTTTAATTTGCATTTCCCTGATAAATTAGCAATGTGGAACATCTTTTCATGTGCCTGTTGGCTATCTGAATTTCTTCTTTGGAGAATTGTCTGTTCATTCGTCCACCCATTTTTTAATCAGGTTATTTGCTTTTTGGGTGTTGAGGCTTGTGAGTTCTTTATATATTTTGGATGTTGTCCATATGTTGTTTACAAATATATTCTCCCATACTGTAGGATGCCTTTTTGTTCTACTGATGGTGTCCACTACAGCAGCATTTTAAAACTACCAAACTATCTTTCGTAAAGATCCTTTAAATGTTTTGGAAGCAAAGAATGATTGGAGCTACTGTAAAATTAGTCATTATTATTATTTTTCTTTTGCAGTGGAATAATAAGCAGAAATAAAGCTTTATTCAAGAAACCATTTTTTAAATTTATAGCTGCTACTCCAATGGTAAACCATTGCTGAATGATGGCATGTGCTTTATCAAAGTTTTATAATCCTGTGTGTTTCACAGCTTGGGCAACACTAAGCACTCTGAGTTTATATAAAGGTTGCTTGAAACAGTTTTAACTTAAATCTCTAAACTTTTTGTACTGTCTTATTTGCCTCTTATCTTTAATAATCTTATTGCTATAAACAAAATTTTTGCAATTCTTTTTTCATTGAACTTCTAGTTCAACTAATTCTTTTTGTTTTTTACTTTTTAGCAGTTATATCAAAATTGGACTATTATTTTTTTAAATTAGTCTAAAGTAACATTTCCCAAAGTATGTTGTGTGGAATCCTAGCTATGACAGAGGAAATACTACATGCTAGCTACAAAGCCCTCTCAGAGACTTACAGTGCATATATTATACATTTGTTTAACCTAGTTATCCCAAATTTATTTGACCATATAACTTTTTTGCTTTAAAAGACCAGTTAACATTACTTGGCATTGTTCACCTATTTCCTCATTAAAAGTAAATATATCCTTATCATATACCAATCATTTTTGTGTAGAGCTAGATTTAAGTCATTTGATGTAGTGTTTTCCAAAATATATTATATTTACATTTGTGAATGTTCATTAAGTATTATTTGACAACACAGTGTGTGATCAAGTACATTATGTCTTTCTAGTAGATCATAGACATACAGTACTCAAAAACCCTTATATAGTACATGGTTTTCAAACTTAAAATAAATGGTGGAACCCATAATTTTAAGTTCTTAGAGGATATTTAAAAAACAGATGAATATGTAAAATAGATTACAAAGAGATAATAGAGGAGATTTTTTAGTTGAAGTGCTTTAACAGATCTGAAACTTCTACAGAACCATTCCGAAACTCTCAGGCACCCGCACTGATTGTACTTTGTGATTTATCATTTAGTTCCATGGTCAGCAAAGTAGGACTGATAGTTCTGGTAAAATTTTATTAGGACACAGCCAATCTCATTCTTGGTTGTTTTTGCTCCATAGTAGCAGACTTTAGTAGTTGGAACAGAGAGACCTTATGGCCCACAAAAGCTTAGAGTATTTACTCTTGGTCTTTTATAGTTATAGTTTATTTATTTCTCATTAGTCTGTCTACCTGTCATTAGTTCATACAAATGAGAATCAGGATATTAAAATTACTAAAAACAAACAAAAAATACTGTTTTATCCATAGTGATCCATTCCTTGTCTATAAACTTGATTGTTTTATTGTCTAAACCCCTTTTGTGGCAGCCTAAATCTTTTCAAAAATTACCATTTTTACTAAGGAAAGAACTAGTTATTCTTATTTAATTTTGCCATTTCTAGAGTAATTTTCAAGCAAGCTATTTAAATGATAAAATTTCATAAGTTGGAAACATGTTTTTGTAAGAAAATGGTTGCTAGCATCTTTTTTTCTTTAGTCTTTTGATTCAGTAGACATTTCTGAGTAATTTTAAGAGCTTTTTAGTTTTCTTAGGGTTAAATATTGCTTTTTTTGCAACTAATGCACTGCATGTGGTGGTTTGCAGTGGTATCATTGGTCGTAGCAGAAAAGATTTCAAGAGATACTTACTCAACTTCATCGCTGCCATGCCTCTCGTAAGTGTGATTCTTTAAAAACCTTTACATAGGGAAAATTTGCATGTTACTAAAATCTTAAATTATTTGTACTTATTAAGTTCTCTGAAGATTTGTGGCACTAGGTACCTATTTCAATGCTGGTTTTGTAACTTCTAGCCAAATTTCTTGCTGTAAACCTTTACATGAGATAGAAAAATTAAAAGGAATTATGTTTGATTCAATTTCATTGTATACGTATGTGAGTGATTTATTTATTTTTAACGTTTAGGCCAGGGTTTCTTAAATGTTTAGTAACACACCACTAGATGTCAGTAGTGTCCCTCCCAGTTGAGACAACAAAAAATGTCCCCGGGAGGCCAAAGTGGTAGAGGGGAATTGCAGCAAAATTCACTGTTTGAGAACCATTGCTTTAGGCCAGAATTTATTAGAGTAACCTGAACCATTAATATAATTTAAGTTAAATTGGAATTTATTAAGTGATTTTCTTAGCTTGGTTCTTATCTTTATTCTATTATATTGATACTATAAGAATTTTAGCATTATAAATGGGAGTAAACAGGAGAAGTTTATAAAATCCAGTTAGAAAATTTGTCAGAGATTTAATAAAGCTTGAGGATGGACATACAGTTTTTAGACCTTTTAAAATACTGAGATAAGCAGCACAGATAATCAGTTAAAGATTTTCATCAGATGACCAGTGTTTTCTTGAGAATATTTCTATGTAAATGTGAGCTTGGGACTATGGAAGAATTAATTTGAAAATAATGATGGAAAGGAGTTGTAAAGATGACTCTAGAAATAATTTGGGAAATGGCATTAGTTGGTATTAAAAATTACAATATTTATTTTTAACAAATGCAAAATGCAGCATATATAGAATTTCATTGTCTAGGGTTGTAGTGCTGGTAGTAGGAAACAGAAGATAAACACATAAATGTCAAGACTCCTAAAAGCAAGGCTCTTTACATTAGCTAGAAAGGTGATACATTTGGCTTTTTGTTTGTTTACAAAAAAGAAAAAGGTAGTAAGATGCTTCTCATATTTTATGATGTCAACATATTCTAACATTAAGTTCCAAATAAAGTTTTATCAGAGTAATGTAGTCAATTTATCATGTTTATTATATTCTCTTTGGATCTTTGTAAATTCTAAGTGAAACAGAACAAAATTATATCAGTTTGGAGTATCATTTTAAAAAATCAACATTTGGGGACATAGCCAATGACAGAGAAATACATTATAATTTAGTAAGTAGAATTGAAGCAAAATCAGTAATATCTTTTTGTTTGTTTTAGATCTCTCTGGTTAATAACTTCTTGAAGTTTGGGTTAAATGAACTCAAACTATGCTTCCGAGTAAGACTAACTAAATACCTCTATGAGGAGTATCTCCAGTAAGTGATAACTTATTTTTATATTAAAAATACTTAAATTGAACAGTAATACTTAGGATACTGAAATACAGTTTTTCCCCCCTTTTTGGGGGTTTCTGAAGAAAACTGCTCTTGAACCCAGAAGCGTATAGTGAAAGACCCCAACTATTTGGAATCTAATCTTGGCTCTTCCATTAACTGGCAAGTCATCCCTCTGGACTTGCTTTCTCATCTCTAAAATAAATTATGACAATATTTAGGGCCTTTTCCAGTTCTATACTTTTTTGTTTCTATGATTTGTGCTGTGTAGTCTAAGGTGATTTTTTTTTTTAATCATTTGTTTTAAAGACATTTTCTTATTGCAATTTTAGAGCTTTCACTTACTATAAAATGGGAAACCTGGACAACAGAATAGCTAATCCAGACCAGCTGCTTACTCAAGATGTAGAAAAGTTTTGTAACAGTGTAGTTGATCTATATTCAAATCTTAGTAAGGTAAGTTTCTCTCTCTCTTTTTTAAATTTGTTAATTTGTTGAATTTTGAATCTAATCAAATTTACATAGAATTGATTTGATGGACATAACAGTGGCATATAAATATTAAATGTTTTCATAAGAAAATTAGTTATAATAATTTTGACCACAATTATTATTAATTTTTTAATATATTTTTTGAGGTGCTTTGGCCTCAGAGAACTGAGAATTAAGTGTCTTACAAAGATTTTATAGGAATCTTGTAGACTGATTTCAGTAAAACAAAAATTGGCCTGTGTACTTTTGACACTTATTACAGATTAAAAGTCAATTTATATTTATATTTCCATATCCATAAAACTAGATTAGGACTGCTTCCTGCCCATTTCTCTGCTTCAGTATCTCTAATTTTAATAGATCATTTAAGTAATAGTCAAAAAAATCACAAGATACTAGTTTATTTCAGTTTCTAATTACTATTTTCCTTCCTTCTTAGAATGTTGCCAAAGCTCGTGTCTGTGTTGAAAGGCCTTAACTAGTTTTCTTCCTTCCATTTTCTCAGTTTTTCCTTATCTTACTTATCTCACCACTCTTTCAACCTTTGCAGTAGTTTCTCATTGAACCATCTTCTCTGCTATTACCTCCTACATTAAGTAGGGCATGGAGTGGGCACCTGTAAGATTGTCTACCCAGCATTCCTTCCCCGCTTTATCTCAGGTGCCCCATTTCCTACCTTCATCCACATGACTGCTCTTGGTCTAGGGTGGGAGCTTATATCTTAGCCTTTGGCCACAATTGATCCAGATAATGCATCCTAAGACAAAAAACTATATTCAAGGACTGGGTCACACTGTAGAAGTAAGAATGCTCCTGCTTCAACCATGTGGATGGAGAGAGGATAGGCAGTTCTTAGAAAAGTGTTAGGTATCCACAAAAGCTTCTTGCATTTCATGATGGGCCTACGACTAAGATGCCCTTTCACTTCATGCTACATTTTGTTCTTTATTCAGTTCTCTAGAAGCCTTTACCAACCAAACCCAAACTCTAGGAACTCTGGCGACTATAAATATTCTGTAATTCAGCTTTTTTCTCTGCTCCCATTACCACATTTTAAAGTTTGTTCTGTATGTAAGTGGGAAGGTATTGCAGGTGCATATAAAATTTTTCATGTTATTCTGTAGACATTGGTATGTATTCTTTACATCTTGGCACTTGAACAAGTCTATTACTCAGGTCTTCTCAGAGCTGCAAGAGACATAATGTCCTGTGCACCACAGTACATTTATTGTTTTTAACATCTAATTGTTTGAATTCTGACTTAAATTGTGAGTCACTTTTGTCAATACTTCTTAATGTACCTGAATTTTACAAGTATGTCCTGCTCCTTGATAATTTAAAAGACAAAAAAAGAGAATGTTCATCTTGGTACAAGCCAATTAATGAACCAAGCCATCTGTTCTAGTAATAATGCAAATACTAGTTAGAAAGGGGTGGGTATAAGACTTAAAATGAATGAACACAATTTGGGTTTATGATAAACACTTCAAAATATATACAACGTTAGGCATGCCAATTGTCTCTGTGTGAGGAGCAACACATTAATGTATTATTTTAGTTCTCGAAGCTTCAGTTTTGTGTCAGAAAATTAGATTCAACACATAGATGTTGTGATAAAGTAATAGAATCAAACAGTATTAAGAGCAGCAAGAGCCTTGCATTTTACAGCTGAATAAGAATAGAGACCAGAAAAGCTGGTAACACATTTGGAATTATACCTCAGGTCATTTTATTCAGTATCTTTATACTGCATTGAGAAATTACTAAGTTACTAATGGCTAATTATCATGTAGGGCTTCTAGTTCACCAAAAGTGATAAATGTTTTTACCATTTGATAGTGAGTAGTCTCCATTTTAAGTTACTTGAGAATAAGAGTTGTGTCTTTTCTGTATTAGTTGATCTATGTATGTTAAGGTACATTATACAGAGTGGGATCTCTCCATGCTGATAGTTATGGTTAAGTGTTGATAACATTTTGTACTTAACATGTATTAGCTATCAGTTTATGCAGTTTAGTTCTTTTTAATTCTGTATCTTTTAATATTTATTTTACAGCCATTTTTAGACATAGTTTTGTATATCTTCAAGTTAACAAGTGCAATAGGAGCTCAGGTAAGTTTACTTTCATTTTTTTTTAATTGCTATAATACTTGTAACTAGCTAGATAGCTTTAAGAATTTTCATATTATCTCAAAGAACCTGCACCTAACAAAATCTGCTTATAAAGTAATGCTGTGCTAGAGACCTAAAAAGTATTCTAATTTGACTTTTTAGTTTTCCTTAAGTCAGATACTTGGAAAATTTTTGTGGCATTAATGACCACAAGTGCTTGAACATTGAAACATACATGTACTAATTGTTGCAAAATACTGTCTAAAAAGGAAGTTTGATAGCTATTTTAAAATGAAATTTGAATATATAAATATCAGAAATACCTTTAGAATGGCTATAAGTTTCAAGAATATTTTATAATATAAACAGTTGACTAGCCCATAACCATTACTACCCTGCCTCTCTGGTATTTCTGTTGGTGAGAATGACCTTTAAATTTCCTTTGAGTATTCGCATTGAAATCTGACTTCAGTCATTTAATATGTAATGTATTGTTACATATTTATAACACAAGCCTATAACAGTGTGGTTGTTCTATGTATATATGTACATGTGTATATATATTTTATAGTGATTAATTTATATAGTGGCTTTTGTTCATTTCCAGAACAATGGGGAAAGCAGATTTTATGTGAACTTCCTTGTCTATCTTCTTAAGCTTTTGTTCTGCTTGATACAGGTTCAAGCATTCTTAGAATTAGAATTAAATATGATTAGAATTAATCATACTTACAGCTTATTTTTACCAAAAGCAGGTGAATAGGCCTAGTCCCTCTTACATCTATCTATTATATTTTTATGGTACTTAATACATTTTTATAATACCTAAAATATATCCCATAAATTCCTGTTACCTAATTCTATATTTCTTGAAGGTAAAAACTATGTTTTAGTTATCTCTTTTGTCCATACTTTCAGTAATTGTTGAAATGCTTTGAATCAATCATATTTAAATTAAAAAATTGTGAATACACACTATATTCCACCTAGGTATATATGCTAGGTAGTAGGAGTGGAAAGATGAGTAAGACACAGTTCCTATTGAAGAAGGAATACGATCTGGTGAAAAAGTGTAGATAGTCAAGCAATTACTGTGCATAGTGATAAGTTCAGTAAAAGAAGTGTTGTGTAAAGTACTTTGGGTGTGGGAGAATTGGAGGTGATGTTTGAGCTGCTCTGAGGAGGATGAGTAGGCTTCCATTAGATATGTCAGGCTTGCCAGACATAAGAACAGCTTCAGAATGCTAAATTTAGGAAAGAGTTTTTTCAGTATGACAGAACATAGTATATAGTTAGGAATGAGGGAAGTGCCTGCAGTGAGCTTGGAAAAGTAAGCTTGAAGCTTCTCTCTTGGGACAGTTGATGGGTGATGAAGTCACTTACCAAGTTAGAAAGTATGGCAGCTGAGGCAACATGTAGGAGAAGGGAAAAGAAGCTAGAGCTCATTTGGGGGAATTGAGTTTTAAAGCTCTACCGAGTAGTGAGGTGAAGATATACTTATTTGGAAATAATATCTTGGATTCTTATGAGTGGTGTGATTATAGATATAAATTTGGGAAGAAAAGGGAGCCCAGGAAAAATCCTTGGAATATTGGCGTTCAAAGAGAGGATGAAAAAGAGGTCTGAGAGTTATCTTGATATCAAGATAATATCAAGAAGAGTTCCATCAGAGAGTTTTAGATGCATAGAAAGAGTGAGGACTGCAATGAGGAGCTCTTAGATGAGCAAATTTGGGAGAGCTGGGGGATGAGCTATAGTGGTGGGAGAAGGAGTACACGAATAGTAAAAACATAGAGGCCTACTATGTATTTTCTCAGAAAAGAAGCAATTAAGGGGAAAAAAATATTCAAAAGAGCAATTTCTCTCAAAGTCACTGGAGTTAATTATAGAAATTGTGCATGTTACATTCAGTGAATTCGCTATAATATCCTTGAACTTTTTATATCTTTCTCTCCCAATAATAATAGGGCCCTGCAAGCATGATGGCCTACTTGGTTGTTTCTGGGCTGTTCTTAACTCGACTTAGAAGACCCATTGGTAAGATGACAATAACTGAGCAAAAGTATGAAGGAGAGTATAGATTTGTTAATTCCCGGCTTATCACAAACAGGTGAGGAGAAATGTATTAAATATACCTATCTGTACCAAAAATTCATTTTTATGGATATTGATGTCATGTAAGTTGTCCCCCTAAAATCCAGTAACACCAATATTGAAATTGTGTGTGTGTGAGTGTAAATGTATTTACCTGTCTGAAAATATACACAAGTTCCCTAATAGAAGTGTGAGTAAAGTACTTAGTGTCTGGAAGAGTTGGAGGTGATGTATGAGCTGCTCTGAGGGTGATAAGAAGGCATCCATTAGATACATCAGACTTGGGAGACATAAGAGTAATTTCAGAATGGTAAATGCAGGCAACAGTTTTTTCAGTATGATAGAACATAGGATATAGATAGGAATGAGGGAAGTGCATTGTGAAGGATATCAGTTATGAAGTAATAAACTAAACCTTTTTCTTGTTAACTGTAGTATCCCTGGTCAACCTTTTCATGTTTTCTGTTGATTCATTTTCTGTTAATTTCACTTTAAATGTAGGCAGAATACAATTCAAATACAAATTTACTTACAACACTACTTTAAATTTTGTTTCAATTTGTCCACAAATATTTTTATTTTGAGACTGTTTAGAATGCTCAATAATTCAGTCTCACTGAATGTGTCTCTACCTATTTTCCAGATAGTTCAGAAATCCAAAATAAGGAGAAAAAGCACTGGGTTTTGGAACCGAATGAATAGTTTCAAAATCCATCTCTTGCACTTATCAATTATATATTACACTAACTTTTGACAAATTATTTATCGTCTCACTTTGCTTGTTTCTGATAGATAGGTAATACGTGGCTTTTGTGGGGATAAAATGTGAAATATATACAAAGCTTCCAGCACAATTTTTGATATGTAGCAGGTGCTCAGTAAATTTTCTCATATATTGATCTGTCGACCTTAAGTCAACCTTAATTTTGAGGGTCCTAAGATTTATTTACTACCCTACAAGTATTTACAAAATTACTGAGGAAATTACTCTCTTTTAACAGCTTCCTCTTCCTTTATTTCTTTAGATTGCTAAAGTGGTACCAATTTTAAGTAGGGTTTTGTGCTGTAGGGAGGCAGAGGAAGAGACAGTTGAGTAAAGATGTGATTTGCCAAGAGAATGAAAGATAATATCAGCTTGGATACTTCCTGTTGCAAGAAACAGAAAACCCTGATTCAGATGGCTCCAGCAATAAGGACATTTACTACTTCACTTAAGAACTGTTAAGGTAGTGCAGTTCCGGGCACTGGCTCTTCTTCATTAATGTTCTTTTGGCTTTGCCTTCCTTTGTAAGTTGCTCTTTTCATTAGACTGATTCTTCTTGTGATCATAAAATGGCAAAAACAGTTCTAGATCTCTCCAGCCCTCCTCCCCTGAAAAAAGTCCAAAAACAAAAACAGGCTTTCTGTTCTGCTTTCTCTGTAAGAGAGCAAGGAAACTTTCTCAGAAGCCTCACAGCTGACTTTCTTGCACATCACATTGGCCAGAATTATAACTTGGCCAATTCCTAAAGCAATTACAGAAAACTGATTGGCTTAGAGCATTTGGAACTCATCCCTTGTGGGGTAGAGGCCATTCCTAAACCATTTAGGTACACAGAAAAGAGTAGGTAACTTTAAAAATATTTGGAAGAAGGGAATACATGGAAGAGATAGACATTGGAGAAGCAACTATCAGTATTCAAAGATATTGGGTCCTTTCAGGTTTTAGATAGGGGCTAAAGTGTTTCAGTTCAGGAGAATTAGAATATCACCTCATCTTCCTCCATACAAAGTAGATAGAATGAAGAAAGAAGAGTAATTACAGGTGTAGAACTGTGTTTCTTAAACTGGGATTCTGATACCCTGAGGCTGTGTATCACTGTCAAGGAAACCAGGAAACACAGGTCAAATGTGATGCATCTTATGGAAAGTTTATTTTACTTGAAAGAGTTGATTTAAGAGCTACATTTTTTATGATAGAAAAAACAGGTTTATTTTGGAGTAGAACATAAAATTTATGTAAATTCTGAAAGGAAAAAAAGACTTTAAAGAAGTATTGGTTATTTGTTGAAGACTTTTAACTGCCTTCTAGACTGCTCTACAAATTTTTACTTTCCTCTGCAGTAAGAGGTACTTTGCTGGGAAAGTTGACGTCATACTGAACAGAGTGGAAAAACTAGACTTCAGGGTCATATAGAAGTTTTACTCTCAGGTGCTTGGCAGTATGACTTTGACAGATTTACTTAACTATACTGAAGGTTTCTTCCTCTATAAAAATGCCCTTTGTTTCTAATCAAGATTCTTGTGGTCTGTGTGGGCCCATTAAGCCAGCTCAAGACAAAGAGAGTTGTGAAGATATGGTGGGGTTCCAAGAATAAGGACTATGCATCCTGGCAGCTGGTGCTGAAACCATCAGGACTTAGTTTGTTTTTCTGTCTTTCAAATCTGTATGTCATGGCCTCACTCTCTGCCTTTCTCTAGCTGTTGTTTTCTCCACTCCCTCTGAATCTGTACTCAATTTATGGTCTATAACAGCTACTCCAGCCCTGCCTACCTATGTATCATGGCAGTGTCCTTCTTATTTCTTAATTTGAATTTCTGAGTATTAGCCCAGCACATCTTTTCCAGCCAGGTTTCATATGGCATATGCACATTTGGTTGCAGTCCAATCTGTGATCCAGTCAAGTGTGTATTTCTCTGCTCCAGTCAGCTGATCTAGGAGCAGGGTCTGTAACTCTGGGGGAAAATCCTGGGGCAAAATACCTTTGAAACCGCAATCAGTCAAAGAGAGAAATTAAGTGAGAGAACCCCATTGATTGCTTACAAGCAGTTGTACACTTCTGCTTGCCCATGGCTCTCACGACCCAGTTACAGAAGGAAAGTGAGCCCACCGAACCTCTCTGGTCCAGATATGCTCTCCCTCCCCCTTGTAATTACTTATTGATATGGAGATGACTACTTCTCTCCACCCCTTGGAAACACCTATTGATATGGAGATGTACTAAGGCCCTGCAAAAGATCCTGCAAATGTTGCAGTTTTACCCATAGCCCACCCTTCCAGAAATCTTGCCTCACAATCTACTTGCTCCCCATCTTCCACAATGGCCCCTGTGTGAGAAAACGAGCACTGTAACCAGACTAATAACATTCAGTAACAACAGCAATAAAATCATGATCCTTAAGGATTATATAAAAGTATCCTCAAGCTGGAGGATTCAGCTAAATTCAAAGTCCTATGCAGATTTAGTCCATAGCTCACCCATTCCACAGGTGGTCAATAGCTGAATGGGTAGGGAGTTCAGAGTAATCTTCACATAGCATCTGCAGCCAGGGGTGGGTACAGGCCACAGGGACTGTAGAAGAAAAAAACCTTAAGCATGATAAGATACAAGTTTTAATGACACCAGCATAGGCAAATCTTGTCCATCAGGTAGGATGCATGCAAGAGAGTGGTCCTCGATAGGACAGTGGCAGGAATGGGATCTCACCCTGGTCTAGTATACCCGACTTCCACCACCCCCCCTGTGAGAGTTATAGATGGGTCAATATATAGGGCTACGGGAGGTACATGCACTGGCTATGAAGATAAAACAAAACTTCCCCATAAGATGCTCTTGCCTTCGCATGTTTTGGGTACACTACTGTGATCTTTGGGGGCCACTCTGCTGTTACTCCAGGAATACACAGGAAGCCACTTTCCAGGCCTTTTCCCCAAGATGCCAGAAGGGCCAGCCATTGCTGGCTGGTTTGCACATATAGTTGTATAGGAGAGGCAGCAATGTGTGTTAGCATGTCCACAGGGCTCAAGGCTCCTTTTTGGGGCTTCTTATTCAAATGCTATAGCACTGTCTGTAAGTGAACTGACCAGCCCTGTAGCTATTGGTTTCCAACTTCAGGCTGGATTACAACAAACCATTGAACCTCTCTATCATGCCTGCCCTGGAAGGGTTATATGGTACATGAAAATAACACTTTATTCCTAATTGCTGCACCCACTCTTGTAACAAATCCAGTAAAATGGGTGCCTTGATCGCTCTCAATCACCTGTGGCCGGCCATAGGCTGCAAAGAGATTCTCTAGGCCCCTTTCGGTGGTATGCTGATCTGTACAACGTGCAGGAAAAGCAACCAACAGGTCAGTAGCTGTGTCCACACAAGTCATGGCATACTGATATCTTTTTAATATGGACAGAGGCCCAATATAGTCTATCTGCCACCTGACAATGGGTATCGACCCCTTTACTCTTGGCCCATGTTGCTGCGGGACTTGGTGTAAGTCCCTCTTAGAGTGCACAAGGCACTCCTGGGCTCGGCTGACTTCTTCAAAGGTCAATGGCAAGCCCCCACCAACAGCCTACGGCCCACATTGTCTTTTGCCCCATGTGTAACAAACGCTGATGTAACCATTGGGCTACATCAGAGTCAGGCTTTCCTTCTAGCCAATGCACCTGGGCCAGTGTCTGCTCATTCCCTGGGGATGCCAAAGGCAAATGGCCAGTCACATTGATAAATGGTAACTGTCTTAGTCTGACCAGAGGCCCATAGGTCTTGCCACAACTCTTGCCCCCAAAGCAGCCGGTTGGCATGGTACCATGTAGGTAGCCACAGGGTCAAGCCCCAATAGACGGCTCAGCTGTCAGTGCAGACAACTGTAGGGGAGGGCTCCTGGGTGATCACAAGCCATACTGACTGCAACTCAGCCCACTGACTACTCTTCCTTTCTCAATCCTCCATCCATATTGTCTCAGTCTTAGGATGGAAAGCCACAGTCCTCCACTTTGGGGGCTGCCCACAGTTGGAGCCCTCTGTATACCAAGCATCCTCAGGTATAGGGGCTTTTCTCTTCTGATAAGGACTGTCGGCTACCAATGGCTCAAAAGCAAGTTCTTCCTGCTTTCCACTGGTATAGGTCACCAGCCCCAATAAGCATTGGAGTTCTCCACTTAAGGAGCTAGTAGAGAGAGTGCTATGTTGCTGTAAATATGCATCCTATTTGGCCAATGTAGGCATCTGTGCCACACCACTCCGTGGCCTTTGGGTCCAGTCTCGCACCCACCCTGCAATGGGATAGGTGGTTATTACCTTGGCTGGAGCTGTTCTGGTGATGAGCTCTGTAGCCAGCAAGGCATGGTACACAGCAGTTAGATGCTTCTCTATCAAGGTGTACCGGAATTCTGCTCCTTTCCATAGTTGTGACCAGTATCCAATACGATGGCATGTCTGTTCAAGCTGCTGCCAAAGGTCCCACCCATAACCATCTTCAGTTACATGAACATCCATCTCACAGGGCCTTGATGAGTCCATTACACTCAAGGCCTGTATGGACCTTGACTGCTCGCTTAGCAGCAGTAAAAGCAGCTGCACATGTTTCATCCCAGTCCCACCTGATGCCCTCTCATACCAGCCAGTATGAGGGCTTCAGAATTTGTGCCAAGTATGGGTTAAACACTCTCCAGTAGCCCAAAAGACCCCAAAACTCTTTTAATACTGCCCTAGTGGTAGGGGTAGGAAAAGCCTGGACCTTGTCTATGACTTCTTCTAGGATAACTTTAGTTTGATTCAACCAGACAACCCCCAAGAACTTTACAGACAAACCAAATCCCTGATCCTTGGTGCTGTTCACAGCACATCCTTTCTCCTGTAGATGTTGCAGCCATCTAGGAATTACCCCTTCTAAATCTGCAAGAGAGTCAGATATGAGCATAATATCATCAACAATGTGGTGATACAGCTGCACTATTTACGGTTTGTTCCATGTGGCCAAGTCCTGGGCTATAAGTCTGTGACAAATGGTGGGACTGTAGAGGTATCCCTGTGGAAGGACAGTGAATGTCCAACTGCCGGCCTTCCCACTTGAAGGCAAACTGTTCCTGAGTTTCCTGTGCTCTGTCAATAGAGAACAAAGCATTAGCAAGGTCCACCTCAATAATTGTCTCTCTTTCTTACGGGCATCCCATAGGTCATGGAACAGCTCATCCAAGCTATGCTGAAGTGCCTCTCTCTCCTGCAGAAGTCTCCTCCATAACTCTTTCCACTACCTTGAGAAAACGACATCCCACATCCTGGCTGCTTACACAGCCTCTCAGGGCTTCTAAGCAGTCTTCTTTCTCACAGAGGACTAATACCACAGCTTCTGGTGTCTCCACCAGTCCCCAGTTCTGGGGAAGGGCCCACCCATCTAGGAGGTGCTTTACCCTAGACCAATTCCCCACTAGGGCCTCCCAAATTGGAAACCCCACAGATGGGGGTCTCCTGGGTGAAGCTGCACCCTCTGCCACTGCATACACTGGGGCCTCCCCACCATCCACAGGGGGTTTCCAGGTATTGGAGTTCTCCACTTAAGGAGCTAGTAGAGAGAGTGCTTTCTCTCTCTACTGATGGACCCCACCAGATGATGGTCCCCACCATCTCTATGTACAGGCAGCCCGCCCAAGGGTTGCACCCATGTAGACAGACTATGGGTTCAGAAGTCCTGCTGACTACCACCAGATGTAACTCCGATGGAAAATCCCAGGGCAAAATATCTTTGAAACTGAAATCAGTCAAAGGGAGAAATAAAGTGGGAGAAACCCATTGATTGCTTACATACAGTAGTCCACTTTAGCTCACCCGTGTCTCTCATGACCCAGCTGCAGAAGAAAAAAGGGGCATCCCCAACCTCTGTGGTCCAGTTATGCTCTCCCTCTCCCTTGTAATTACCTATTGATATGGAGATGATTACTTCTCTCCACCCCTTGGAAACACCTATTGATACCGAGATGTACTGAGGCCAGGCAAGAGATTCTGGAAATGTTGCAATTTTACCCACAGGATCTCAAGCCCATGGCTTGAGACATACCAGATAAGCTCTTTAGTTGTAAAATGTCCATTTAAATACAAATATTCAGTCATCAAATACTGTATTTCAGTTATTTTTCAGGTTTAGGTAAATTAAAATTAATTGTTAAATTATTTTCTTTAACAGTGAAGAAATTGCCTTTTATAATGGGAATAAAAGAGAAAAGCAAACAATCTACTCAGTCTTCCGAAAACTGGTAAGTAATATGCTTGAGACTCATATATTATGGGAAGATTTTTTTTGGGGGGGGACCTATGACAAGATACATATATATATTTCTATAATCTTTAAGGTATTTATTTTTAAATAGCTATAAAGGATTTTTGTACTGTATTTTCATTAAAAATATGAAAATAAAAATATATTAAGTTGTCCATTTATAAAATGTATAAATTTATTAAAATGATTATCTGTATTTTTACAAAGGTTGCTTAGGAATCTTATTTAGTGATAATTAGTGATTCCTACAGAAATAATTTGTTCCTGTAGCAGTCATGAAAATACTATGAAGATTATTATTTAAAACAGGGTTCAGCATAGTTTTTCTGTAAAGGTCCAGATAGTACATAAACAGTTTAGGTTTTTCAGGCCGTATGATCTCTGCAACAGTTCAACTCTGCTACTTGAAAGTAGCCACATGCTATATGTAAATGAATGGGTGTGGCTATGTTCTAATAAGACTTCATTTACAAAAATAAGTGGTGGGCTGGATTTGGACTGTGGGCCATAGTTTGCTGACCCTTGATTTAGAATATAAACATTGTTTCTTGTGAAAACTAACAGTTTTTGTTTACTTGCACTTGGCAAATTTGAATTCAAGTAATTTTATTCATTCATTCAAAAGTTAGAGTGCCATCTAGGTTGTCTGCGCTTGTTCCATGTGCTAGTGATAACAGTGGTGAATGGACAAAATCATGCCTTTAAGGAGCTTACATTTTAGTGGAAGTTTGTGAAATCAAATATTGGAGGTGATTTTAAAAGGTTAAAGAAATAATTTTAAATTGTTTCAGAAAGTGTATTTTTGCCTTGTATATATTTAACATGACTGAACTTTAATCGTCCTCACTGACGATAAAGTATATATGGTAATTTCCCAGGGCACTGCTGTTCACCAGTTTGCTTATTCTCATCCTTTGGATTTCAGGCTAAAAGTTAACAGCTAATTGAGGTCATACCTTCTCTGATTAGTCTCCCTGAAGTGGCCTCTACTAGTTACCTCCCATTTTAATGATCTGTGTCGTTAAAAGGGTATATTGCTATTTATTATTATCTTCTTTGTTCACCAGTTTGTCTCTTTCATTTGAATGCCAATTCCATGAGCTCAGGGAACTTGTATGTTTTATTCATTGTATCTTCAGCACAGAGTACACAGTATGTGAATATATGGCATTCATTGAATAAGTGTTTCAGTCATTGTTCTTCTGCAGAACATAGTAACAGCAAGCTACCTATACTCAGGAAACCCACATTTTAGTGGAGGAGACAATAAACATGTAAACAACTGGATATTTTATATTATTTCAGGTAGTAATACATTCTGTGACCAAAAGTAAGATGGACTGAAATGGTAATGTATGATGGGGGCTCTTGCCTAGCTGTTTTAGCTCTGGTGGCAAGAAGGTCTTTCTTGAGGAGGTTTAGCAGAAACCCACATGAAGTGAAGGAGTTAAGTCACAAAATACAAGTATTTAAGAAGACTGTATTTTTGTCAGAGAGGACAGCAAGAGGAAAGCCTTAAGGCAGCAGCATTTCTGAGGAATTAGCATTTCTGGAGCTCAGTGAGGAGCAAAGTAGTAACACATGAAGTTTAAAACAGACCCCAGCACCAGATCATGCAGGGTCTTGGATACTTTGACAGATGGAAAATTTGAGGACACTGAAAATGCAGAATGAAGAACACTTTTTGACATATAATTTTGAGATAATGCATGCTCAGATTAAAGCTACAAACTATGGCTGTGCAGCATTGGTTTGCAATAGCACTTGGTTCAGACTGAGTGTTTGGGAAAACACAGACCAGGTATCTCCAACTGAAGCAAAAATCATTGAGGACCGGCCCAGACAGTAAGTGTTTCACCTAAATTAGCTTATCCATCTGTTTTTTGGTTTTATTGTTGATCACTTTGGCATTTATGTATCTGACAGTATTTATGAATACTGTAATCACAATACTGTAGCATCATCCTATTACACCACATTAGCATTCTTTAAATAATTTCCATTCTTTTTGCATACAAATAGTTTTATGAAGTCTTTGGCACCTGCTCTGATCAGCTTGTGCTCAGGGAAATGTTACATACAATGTAATTAGAAATCATAGGCACTGAGTAAATGTTTGTTGAATAAATTATATATTTTCTTTTATTCTCATGATAGATTTTTTTATACACAGAATATATATACGTATATTTATATACATATTTTTGTTTGTTTTTGCTTTCTGCCAGGTGGAGCACCTACATAGTTTCATTTTGTTTCGGTTTTCTATGGGCTTCATTGATAGCATAATTGCCAAATGTGAGTATGCTTTAAAAGAGATGGTAGAATAAGATTTGTGGAAAAAGTGAAGTATTAATTTGTTTTAAATCTTAATTGATTTATTTCAGATCTTGCCACTGTAGTTGGTTACCTAGTTGTCAGTCGTCCTTTCCTAGATTTGTCTCATTCTCGGCATCTCAAGAGTACACATTCAGAACTTCTGGAGGTAAAGTAGTAGTAGTAGTAATAATAATAAATTGAAAATTTAAATATAAAAATAAAGCCAGATTTTAATCTTAGAAATGTAATTGAAAACTAATACTTATTTCTGTTTAAGGATTACTACCAAAGTGGAAGAATGCTTTTGCGAATGTCTCAAGCTTTGGGTCGAATAGTTTTGGCTGGCCGTGAAATGACAAGATTGGCTGGGTAAGTAAGATTAGTAATAATAAGCAATTGCAGAGAATAATACTTTTTAAAAATATATTCTCCTTAATGATTGTGCCCAGTTGAGTTTAAGATAAGGAAGCCCATTAAGATAAGATTAAGATAAGGAAATGAAGTTCATTTCTTCTGGAAGCTGGTTTTGAGAGAAAATTAAGGAAGATTTTTCTGATAGTTAACTTTTCATATTTCCTTAAGATAGCTGTTTTGAGTATTAAACTAGGTTAGTGGGCCTCAAGCTGTCTGGCTCATGGATACTAGTATTTGGTAAGTTAGGAAATGTTGACTCATGGCTGTCTTAATTCACAGAAAATGAAGTTAACGAATATAATTTTCTCATTTGAACTTTTTTGTACCCCCTTTGATTTTTTTCCTACCAGCAGTAGTACTCCTTTCTGGTTCCCAGACCTGATTACAGTGCAGATTTGTGTGGGGGTGGGGAGGGGGGGATCTTCCCAAGCACAACACCGAGCAGTTCTTGAACACCAGCAGGGCGTCTGGGGACTCTCCTCAGTTCTGATGCTGTCTGCTGAGAGACAGCACCAGATATCCCAGGTTAAGGGCTCCATCCTACAAGACTCCCCTCCACCCCCAACTTGTACCGGTCACAAGCCTGTGCTTCTGACCAACCCGCTAAAGATTGGAGGTTCCAAAAACTTGCCCCTTAGGTTTGATTAATTTACTCCAGCAGCTCACAGAACTCAAGAAAACACTTAGTTTAACCATTTTTATAAAGGATACTGTAAAGGATGTAAGTTAACAGCCAGATGAAATACATAGGGCAAGGTCCCAAATAAAGGAGCTTCTGTCCTTGTGGAACTTGGGCCCTGGCTTTGTGGCATGTGGAAGCTTTCTGGTTCCTCAAGTATGGAAGCTGTATTTGATAGAGAAGCAGGGTCCAAGAGAGCCCAAGTTCTTAGGGTTTTTATGAGGGTTTCATTGCATATTCATGATTGACTAAATCACTGGCTATGGGCTGATTCAACCTCCACCCTGGCCTTGGGTGGGGTCCAAAAGTCTTATTAACGTAACAAGACACCCATTTCACTTTTAAGGCTCTGCAGTATCTTTAGGAATTATGGATGAACACCAAATATACCTGGGAAATATAAATTTGGTCATCTGAATGTCTCTTTCTCTTAGGAATGCTGACATTCTTCTTTCTTATTAATAACTTTTATTATGCCTTGACAATTAATGGCATATGGGGCACTTCTGTTCCTTCAGGAGATTTCTGTTTGTTATTCACAAAAAATCCTGTTTTGCTTCTCTGATGTAGAGTGCTTTCTCATTAACCATCATGTTATTCTTATATTCCTCAACCTCTTATCATTAGTTTTGATTTCTCACTGTTGCCACAGTGATTTCCATTTAATATTAAGAACAGTTCATCTTTTCCCTGCTTCAGCATAAGACGGGAATCTTCCAAATTTATGTTTTCAGGGAGATAGCATGCATTTGGTATACATACAATAAATGCCTTCTTCATATAGAAAGGACAGCTTTATAGGTGGCTTTACAGTTTACTCCAGCAGGAACGCAGGTCCATACTTCCTGTGTGCTGCTCTGAAGGAGAGGGTTCCCTGCTCGCGCAAGTTCACTTTGAATTTGGTAAGACCAACTGAAGATGAGCAAGTTGAGGGGGTTTAAAAGGGGTTCATACCACGTTTATTTTCAGAGCAGTAGGTCTTAGTCTTGCCTGGCTCTTGTGCAGCTGCTCCTGCTCCCCAGCATGGGCTTAATCCTCTCTTCCCTAGCACCGGGGCTCCCCGGCTTCCCTCTGCCACCTCCATCCTCTTCTGGCTCTCCCTCTAGGCTTCCCTTCTCCACTCTTTCCTGTTCTCCCTCCCTTCTCCGCCCCTAGCACTGAGAGGAACTCTGTAGGCGGGTCTCTATGGTGACTGGCAGCCGCCTGACCAATATGTGCCAGGAACTCAGGAGAGGAGAGAATGGATGTTTCCCCTCCATAGTTCCCTTGGGCCGGTACTCCCTTGACTGACGAGCTGTTCTGTACCTTGTAAACATCCTGCTGCCCATAATATGCAAACAGTTCACATTGTACACAATGGGTGATAGCAGGGCCCTGTGAATCTCCTGTTCAGAAGCTTCCATTTTCTCTGTCTAAGGAATACACTAGCACTAGTCTTTCTGTCGTATCTACTAGAAATTTCTTTAAAATTCTGATAGCAAACAGCTTTTTTGACTTACCTATTAATGAAATAAGTATCTGTTGAGGTAGGGATCCTATGAAATCTCTTCCCTTTTCCCATGTTCCTGCTATTCCTGCTGAAACATGTGTACTATCACTAATACATTATGGTGATGACACTTCTTTTAGGTTATTTAATTGAAACTAAATCGTAATTTTAGAAATTTCACTTAAGTTTGTATAAAATAAAAGATATGAACTTAATGTTATATGTCAATCATCAATAAAAATAAAACAAAAGTAAAAGTAAAAGATACGGCTTTGGAGTTTTGATTATGGCTTTCCTTCAAAATTTCAGTTTTACTGCTCGGATTACAGAATTAACGCAAGTACTAAAGGATTTAAGTCATGGCAAATATGAACGCACAATGGTCTCGCAACAGGAAAGGGGTAAATATAAATATATTAGGTTATGTAGTTTAGGTTTTTGCTGACATAATATGATGTTTTAATACTTATTCTCCATTTAAGGTAATGAAGGAACACAAGTCATTCCTTTGATACCTGGTGCCGGAGAAATCATCAATGCTGATAACATTATAAAGTATGTACAAAAAGGTTCTTCAACACCATAAACATTTGTTAAACTACTTAGTAGCTTTTTTCTTTCAGCTGCATTTGCATAGTGTTTAATGTAAAATTATGCTGTTTTTTTTTATTAATTTCCTCTGTAGATTTGATCATGTTCCTTTAGCAACGCCAAATGGAGATATCTTGATCCAAGACCTTAATTTTGAAGTAAGTTTTTAAATGATCTTATAAAAGCCTTAATAGTCTTCAAAATGTGAAATGAAAAATAATTTTAAGGCTTGACTTAGTCTCTGAGTCCACAAAATTGCTTTGAAAAGTCAGTCTTTTGAAACACTTAGGAATCTGTCTTTCTTAATTGACAAGTCTTTAATAAAGGTTCACATTTTGCTATCAAAAAATCTTTTGCAAATACAGGCCATCTTAAGAAGGCCCTGGAAGATAGACTTAATTGTAATTTGCTGTGTAGAATGTTTATTTAAACCTGAAATATAATTTTAGTCTGTTTAAATTTTTAAAAATTATGGTTTGGTATTGTCTTGACTGTGCAGGAGGATCTATAAAAACCTATAGAAACAAAAACTTTCTTACTACTGATGAAAATAGTGCAAGAGCAGCACAATAGCAGTACCGATAGTCACTCACCCAAAACAGGTAACAACTTATGCTAAGTGAACAGTGGTGCTGATTCAATATAGTCTGTTAACTATTGGGTGTATGACAGACCAAATTAAAAAGAAGAAGAAAAGATAAGTATTTTTATAATTCATTAGGCTCTCAGATGTAAGGGTTAATATTTGGATTCTGTGTCTGTTATTACTTTATGAATAGTTCACATCTGAAAATCTTGGCAATAAATAACATGTAGTTACTTACATAAGTAACTGCCTGTCATGTAGGCATTCTCCCCAATTTGAGATACCATTTCTCTAGAACAGCACTGTCCAATAGAACTTTCTGTGATAATGGAAATATTCTGTCTACATTGTCTAATATAGTAGCCACATGTGGATATTGTGTACTTTTGAAATGTGGCTAGTTCAGCTGAGGAACTTAATTTTAAATTTCAAATTTTATTTTAATAAATTTGATCTTAAGTAGCCACATGTGACTGGTAGCTACTGTATTGGACAGCATGGCTCCAGAATTCTCTACATGCCTATATATATATATATATATATATATATATATATATATACACACACACACACACACACAGAGAGAGAGAGAGAGAGAGAGAGAGAGAGGGAGGGAGGAAGTGCCTTCTGTAATTTGCATTGTGTGTGGGAATTCTTTTCAACTGCTTCCACTGAAGTAATGTTGTCTGATAGTTTATAAAATAAGGAATATAATTATTGGACTTGTTTTTAAATTGTTATGATCTTAAGTAAGTCTTTAGTTTTCCTATTCTTAGGAATATATTAAGTACACCTCCACTTTCTTTTTAAGGAACGATAAAAATGAAAAATGTTACTTAAACAAAGTACTTTGACTTTATTCAACAATGAGTATTGTATAATCATATTTAATTTAAAGCCAGAAAGCACAAGAGGAAGTAGAGAAAATATAAATATATTTGGTAAATATGGAATGACTTCAGGTATTAAGGAAATGTTTTCTCATTTAGCTCTAGGTACTCCAGTCAGTTCAGTGTGTTCCCTTGGCTCAGGCAGTCACCTATCAGGCTTGATTTTAGGGATTAAAACCGAGCTCAGGACCCCATCTTTGTTACATTTCCAGAAACCCTTTTATTGCCACAACCTAACCGTGAGATTTCCCCACTGAAGAATCCTCTTGGTCTTTTCCCGCATTTTCTCTTACTCTGTCTTTGTGCAGAAATAGATTACACCAACAATACAGATGTACCCATGGCTTAAGCATAGTGAGAAGAGATTTGGGATACTTTTTGTATAGATACATGGAGTAGATTAAGATCGTGGGTATGGTCTGTGGTACTCACTTTCTCACAAGGCTAACACACTAAAAAGCTGCACTTTCCTTTATGTCCAAAAGCCCTTTTCTTTAAAGCCCTTATTTTTGGATTTTTGTATACTTCTAGCCAGGTCTTATCGCTTCACTTTTACAGTCTCAGATAAGCTATTACTGTTTTCCCCTTATTTTGGTTTCACTTAGAAAGTCTTATTTGAGTCCCCATTTACACCGTACTTGAGCAAGTTTTCTGCTTCGTGACCACGTTCCATACTACCTGTTGTCTGTCCTGTGATTCTTGTTTTCTCCTCCACTGGGAGCTGTTTCTTTGACTTCTGTCCTTTTAGTCTATGTAATGAATTCTTTTTCAGTCTCTTTCTGACTTAAGGTATTTTAAATTAACTTTGGCTTTTTCTCATTAATTTTGTCTTTCTATTGTTTTTCTTAACATAGCCTTCTTTTATTCAACAAACATCCTTCAGTTCTGTAACCTCATTATTTTCTGCCCATCTGAAACACAGGATTGCTCTCTCCTGGAAAGAGACATAATGAAACAGACTTGGCCACCAAAAATAAATGTTTCCTTGTCTTTTGGGTTACATAGTAACCAAATAATATAAGCTTCTTTGAGATGGGAGATTTTATGCATGATTTCCTTTATAAACTCCCCAGCACAGTCATTCATCTATCTAAATGTAGACTGAAGGGACCCTAAGAGAGAACAACTTGTAGATTATAATGTGGGCTTTAAAATAGTACTTTGTAACTTCCTCAAGTGTTTATTTTACCTTTTCAGTAAGGCACATTTATAGTGTTTAAAGCAGCCTATAAATCTTCAGTGTAGTTTTATCTCTCATTTATTTAAATCATATTTTTGTGTAGAATGTTTTGAGGATTTATGATAAATTTGTAGGAAATAGGATTTATCAAGAAGTGTTATTTCTCATGAAATACATTTAATTGGTAAAAATACAGTGATTCAAAGCATTCTTTTTCCTATTAAATCATTCCAGGAGCCTCAGTAATACAGTGTTATTGAGAACTTAATTTTCAGTGAAAGTTACTCTTGGCTTTACTCTTAAGTCAATTCAGAAAAAAATACCTTTCTATAAAGCTCTAATACAGCTGACATTATTCAAATAAAACATAGTAGTAGAAAAACCACTTAACAGCTCTCTGAACTTTAGAAGCTCTTAATGACATCACTATTATAGAAGAGTAAAATTATATATAATCTTGCATTATCAGGAATATTTACTATATTCACTTTAACAGGAAAAGGAAATAGGTAATAGCTTTGAAGCCTATCAAAATGATTCTTTAAAATAGTTTCTCAGAAGAAGGCACAGTTCATCTGGAAAGGTCATTTTCTAACATTAATCTGTATAAGATGTATTTTATTATAGATCAACTATGTGATAGGGTAGTAATTCCCAACCTATTTTAGAAGTTCAATTATTTCTCTTTTTTTTTATTGTGGTAAAATGTACATAGCATAAAATTTACCCTTTCAACCATTAATAGTTTTGTTTATTGTGGTTATCAGATACATGTAACAAAATTTATCCATTTAAGTATTTTTTATTGAACAGTCAGTGACATTAAGTACATTACACAGTGCAACCATCATTACTAAGTTTAAAAAATTTGTCAAAGGCAGGCTTCACAGCTAATGCAACTCTTACATCTCTAGAACCTTTTCATCATCAAAACAGAAACTGTACCCATTAAACAATAACTCTGCAATCCCCCCAACTTCTGGTAACCTCTGTCCTCCTTTTTAACTCCATGAATGTGACTACTAAAGTTACCTCACATAAGGGGAATCATACAGTATTTGTCTTTTTGCAACTGGCTTATTTTCCTTGGCATAATTTCTTTACAGTTCATCCATGTTATAATATGTGTCAGAATTTTATTCCTACAGGATTTGCTTGCCACTACTCTGAACCCACCTGTAAACCTCTGAGCCCATTTCCTACTCTTCCCTCCTGCTCATTTTTCATCAGCCAAATCAGCCTCCTGTATTTGAATATGACTGTTTTGTAGATTGCTGCATTGGTGCCTTTGCACCTTCTTTTTGGGGAAAGGTTGGGGCTGGAACCATCTGCCTCCAGATAAACTCCTTGTTTACCATTTCTTTCAAAAATTTTTTCCCAGTTGTCATTTTCAATGAAGCCCAGCCTGACTACCTTAAAAATGCAACCTCTCCCACTCACTCCCTAGCTTCCTTATTCCTATCTACTATTTAATTTACTCATTTACTCATTTTATCTGTGTTCTTGATTGTTATGTCTCTCCTACTAGAATATAAACTGGTAAGGGCAGCACTTTGTGGGTTTTTGGGAGAGAGAAGGGGCATCTCTTTTATTTGCTAATACAGCTCCACTGCCTACGAGCCTGAACTAGGCATTCAATAAATACTCACTGAATTAAATAATAGAAACTAAGTTTAAAAAATTTGTCAAAGGCAGGCTTCACAGCTAATGCAACTCTTACCTCTATGTTGTCGTCTTTCCTGCTGCAACACATTGTTGTGTGATGCTGTAAGCTAAAATTAACCCAGGTTTTCTGATTCTGCATAGGATTGTTTACGTAAGACCAAAAACTTAGAATTTAACCATTCTTTACATTTTCTCATTTAAAGTTATGTTGTTGAGCAATTTGGTTGCATTTATAAATACTTACAATGCATTTATGCTGTGCTTTGATCCAGCACTTTTAATATCTAAGAATCTCATCTATAGAAACATTCCTTACTACTGTGTGAATTTTCTCGGTGATTTAGAGGTTCATTGCAGAAAAGTAAAACAAAATGGGGATGACTTAGATATTTAACAAAAGGTACATGTTTAAAATAGGGTGCATCCTTCCAATGGAATACACTGCAAACATTAAAAAAAAGAATGGGAGGAAATTTGAATATACTGACCTGGAAGAGTATTTGTGGTATATTGCTAAATAATAATGAATGTAGAACATATATTCCGTTTTTTAGAAAAAGACTGAACATTTATTGTTTTCAAGAACACTCAGTTTTTTTAAAGCTTTAGCTCTTTTGTATTCTGATTGATGATCTCAATAATGATTTTTAAATGAAAAAAATAGCTGAGTAAAATTTGAAAGGAACCAAAAGTAAAAGATCCCTTCAACCATATCTTCCCCTGCTTTTACCTAGTATCACATTTATGGACAAAATAAAAAGCTTGTCATTAGCAAAGAACTAATGAACTCTAAGGAAATATTCATTGAGTATGTATTCACGCTACTTAATTAATTTATAGATTCATTTTCTTTCAGGTTCTATCTGGAGCTAATGTTCTGATTTGTGGCCCAAATGGCTGTGGGAAGAGTTCGCTTTTCCGTGTTCTTGGTGAAGTATGTACAAATCAAACAAAAAATGTGGTGGTTTCATTTGCTATGTAGTCTACCACATTGTGAAATTTACAACTGCTCCTCCTCCATACCTTTCCTTTTATAGCTATGGCCTCTTTTTGGGGGACGTCTAACTAAACCTGAGAGAGGGAAGTTATTTTACGTTCCTCAGGTAAGACCTTGTTTGTATCATTTTGTAATCTTGGATTTAAAGATCTTTTTATTTTTTTTTAAATGCACTTCTAATGATTTTTGCTCTCCTACTATCAGAGACCTTATATGACCCTTGGAACACTTCGAGACCAAGTGATATATCCAGATGGAAGAGAAGATCAGAAAAGGAAGGGGATATCTGACCTAGTAAGCAAATATTTATGTCCTAGACTTAATGAAAATACTACAGTACAGATTCTTTATGTTACCCAGTTACACACTTTGAATGCCAGGTAGTTTATCCTAACTTACAAAATTTTCTAAAGCCTTGTCATTAATTACAACTTTCCAAGTTGAGGCAAGTGTTAACCACTTTGCTTAAATATGACTTGATGGGTGTTTAAACTTGTCTCTTACCCTGTAGTTTGTTTCCTTATTTCCTTCATTCTTTAATTATGTACAATATTGTTGTTCCCTTTAAGCTACTAAATATATTTTGTCAAAGTCAGTATAGATAGGAAATAAAGGGTTCAGTGCTGTCTTTGTACCACATTCTTTTGTGAAATGTACCTTTTTTAAGTGATTTTGGCAACAGAACTATAGTGATACTAGTTAAAAATAAACTTGATTTCATCCTTAATCATTCTGCTGAAAGGTACTGAAGGAATACTTAGATAATGTTCAGCTGGGTCATATCCTTGAACGTGAAGGAGGCTGGGACAGTGTTCAGGATTGGATGGATGTACTCAGCGGTGGAGAGAAACAAAGAATGGCGGTAAGTATGTCCTGAAGACATTGTACAATAATGCAACTGGTTCCCATGAAGTCACTCTTGGAGTCCAGCATTTTGATTAGTCAGGGCAGACGGTTTCATTTTATTCTTTTTATTTAGCAATTGTTTTAGTATGGATTAGTTTAAATGGTAATAAAACTGCAGAAAAATTCTTAGTTCTTCAGTCCAGTTTCCATTTTGAAGAACTAAAAACTTTTCTGAAAAATCTGTACATTCAGAAAATGTACAATTCTGATAAATTCATAATCTATTTTTCTAAAGGTTGGGGAAACCACCACATTGATCCTGGGATATTATATGGTAATTCTGGCTGGGTTAAAAGATCTCTTTCGGTATCTTTTCTCTATAAACCTCTCTTTGCCTTATTCAGGCTGTTCTATCTGAAGTAGCTGAAGGTATTAGAGATGATCACCCCTATCCCTATTTTTATCATTTTATTCTTTATAATGGTCTTGCCCTTTCCTTCTGCTGTTATATGTATCATTGTTTTAGGGCTCAGTATCAACTACCTAAAGTTACTTAGAATTAAAAAATTTTTATAATACAAAGAAGTAATTGAAAGAAACTATTTTAATTTTATGATTGACTAAACTTACCTTGATCAAACATGACTACAAAATACTACATATTAAGAGTGATACTTTCAATATCCCTCTGTTAAGAGGGATAACTCTTTTTCTAACTATACATACATACCATAGCTTGAGCAGATACAGAGCAATTTTTTTTCCCAGAGTGTTGACCTTGTGGAAATTAGAGAAAACTGTAGCTAAGGAAAGACAGCAGAAATGGCTTATTGCAGAATTGCTTACTCATTGTCTTCAGTTTATATCATACCTTTTTGTTGCCTCCTATTCCCTGATTTTGCATGCTGTTTTTCCCAAAATAATACCCATTCTGTTTAAATACCAATTTAATACTGTGATTTGTCTAGCTAGTGCTATAACATGAGATTAATTTAGAGTGAGAGTGAATCATGAAAGAAAAGAGATGTATCAGCCATACCTTCAAAAATGGAAATTGGACTGAAGAACTAAGAATTTGAAGTGATTGGGCATTTCTGGAAGTAATTTAGAAGATGACCTTAGAAACAATTGTAAGTCAAGTGAACAAATTTAAATTCCTATACCATGACTTCAAAGAAAATGAAAGGATGAGTCAAGATTACAAGTGGGCACAGTGGAACCCAGAGAAAGAAAAATAAATGTGCATAACTAAGAAATCCTGTGTGTGTGGTAAAAGGTACAGAGTGGATAGCTTTTATTTGAAGATAAAAAATTCAAGGCCTGGAGGAGTATCTTGGAAGAGTAAGGGAGTAGGGGAAGGATCCTATAAAAAAAACCAGATGAACCTTGATGGAGTTGTTTGAGAAATGGAGAAAGCTCACCCATGACACTGCTGCTGACCAAGCCATTGACAGGGTGTGTTCTGTTTAGGCCAGTGTTTGGAGAATTGAATGTGAAGTTTTAAAGAGATGTATAGTTTTGCTACTTTCAGAGGGTTTGTAAGGAGAGAGAGAAATTGGGTGAAGAGTGTATGTGTTCATCTTACTGTTCTTTCAGTTTTTTGGTTGAATTGAAAATTTTCAAAGTAAAAAGTTGCAGCAAGAGATGTGTGGAGAAAGTAAAGCTTCCAATGTCCAGGATTCTCACCTGGCCCCGATTGGCTTGCTCACTGCACACGTGTGGGCAATACCTTGTTATTGACTCTATATAAAGAGCTCTGCTTAGTGTTCTGGGCTGCATAGCTGCAGGAGAGTAGAGACTGGAGTGGTGGCAGCGCCGAGGACAGAGACTGAGATGGCTGCGGGGGCGGAGAGGCCCAGAGGCAGAGACCGGCTTGCTACATGCAGACTCACTCTGAGTGGATGGGATTCTAGTGATTGTCCTGCCGCCATGGGAATAAAGTTTGGTATAAACCCTTTCACCCCAAGAACGTTCCACTGTCATATTTTTGGCCTCACTGAATCCATAGTGAACTTGCCCGGGGCTAAAACGCGTTGGCAAGACAAGAGGACACAATTTTTATAAATCATGTAATTTTATAATATTAATGAAATATTAATGCTATATATTATTGCATATAAAATTATATAATTTTATAAATTATAATTTCAAAAATTATAATTTTTAGGAAGAACAGACTGGAAAGGTCTAACAACTGAAAACTGTATCTATAGGAGTGAAGGTTGGTGTAAAATCAATGAACCAAAGGAACTTTTGGGTAAGGAGAGTTAAGATTTGAATTTGAGGGTATGGAATAGTACTACTGAATAAAGGGAAGCCCTGTAAGCACATTTATAAAACTTTACTAAGAAAAGTATAAATGTAGGGAAATAAGATTATCATTCCATTATTTTAACAGTGAAAAACTTAATTATGACATAATTTCTCAGTATTAGCTGAGAATCTAATCTGTGCAAGCCATTAAACTAGCTGCCTGCCCTTATAATCTAATTCAGAGATCCTGAGATTCCCAACTAACTGAAATATAAGGCAGTCTTCAGTAACAGCTTCCGGGAAAGTACACTGGGGTTAATGATGAGGGTGGGGTTGATTTTGAACAGCAGGTCCTACTTAGTTCTCCTGACAGCCCTGTGAAGTAAGGTGCAGACAAGGAAAGACTTAAAGAACTTAAGCAACCTACTGAATGGGGCTTAAGCAGCAGCCTACTAAAGACAAACAGCTACTGAGTGGCAAACCTGAGATTCAAGTGCAGGTGGGTCTGACAGCAGGACTCTTGATCTGAACCTGTACATCATCTAGCCTTCAATGTGCAGGTGGATTGTCTACCCAGTTTCCTCTCTCTTTATTCCTCTGAAGTCTCAATTGACATTCCCCTTACCATCATTACACCCATTTGGGCCCAGCTATCATCAGCCAGGGTTCCTCCACCAAATATCATAGCTTGGGGTGTCTTATTTCTCTGACCAATAGTTACTTTTTCCACTTAACTATTCTTGCTCTGCTTGTGTAGTAATGGTTTTTCTTATTTTGAGTCACAAAAAAGAATATGTAATAGAAAAGTTGGAACATGGATGAAAGTATAAAGGGCCAAAATTCCCTTACCTGAGATACTAACCACTGTCATAAAACTTCTCGTGTTTTTAAAATCCATTTTTGTAATTCATTTTCTTTTACTCATTTGGCAACTGTCCTCTTTCTTCCGCCTCACTGAGATCTCCTGAGTAGGGACCCCTCCCTTTTCTGTAGTTCATCAGTCCCCTTTGACTCTGCTTCCTTTCCTCTCCAGGACTGATTTAGTCGCCCAGGGCCTGGCACAGGGCCTTGCACATAGGAAGTACTCAGGAGGTGTTTCTTAAAGGAGCAAATGAATGATCCCTTCACCTTAACTACGTTTCCCACTTTTTGTTTCCTCATATTACCTAAACCTCAACCCAAGGACAGTTGTTCGCCTTGGTGTTTCTCTACATAGGTTTCTGAACACAGTTGAAAAAATCAGAATGGTATGGATTGGTATCACCACAGTTCCATGGTTTCCAGTTTTACAAGGAACTCACAGCATGGCTTGGAAATCATTAATTTTTGCCCCCTCTCTCATTTTTCTTGACAGTCATTTAAAAACTCTCATTTTGCATGATAGTCATCTAAAAACTACTAATCATGAGCTTTCTACCTCATTCATTACCTAGTATACCACTCATCTCCTTAACAAAAGAAAGCATCTGTTCTTTCCGTTAAATGGCAGCTAGTTTTTATTGAGTGCTTAACAGATGATAGGCAACATGCTCAGCCCTTCAACAGGTCATCTCATTTAATTCTCACAGTCCTGTGAGATAAGAACTGTGAATGCCCATTTTACAAAGGAAATAAGATGCGCTCTAAGTGCAGTACACTTAAGTAGCTTGCTAGTAAAAGTTAAAGCTGGTGGGGATGGCTGGTCCAGCTCAGGCAGACTACAGTGTTCACGTACTTACTCGTTTTACAACGAGTATTGTATCAAGTAGCTGACAGCATAGTGGAAAGAGAAACATGATGAAAAAATTTCCAGATAATGTGGTAAGTAAGTATGGTGATGATGGTTCGCAAAGAATACCATGGGAACACAGAGGAGGGGTGCTTGTGCCATGCTTTCAAATAACCATTCCTCTTAATTAGCCTTGCAGTGGGCTATCCTGACTGCCCTCCTTCCACTATCCATAGAGGATATGTCATCCTTCCTCGTAGAAAGGTTACATGTCTCCATCTGTGTTTTTGGATCCTCTTTCCTCTTAAGTCTGTCACATCCCTTCCCTTCAGTTATGTGCATGCACACCCCACCCCACCTCCAGCCCCCCTTTAATCTCTTCTAGTTCTTCTCTTAGGCATTTTCCGGTCTCTGATATAAAGTTCAGACTTTGCCTTCACCAAAGGTCCCCTATAGTCTGTACCTTTCATTCTCTGCACAGCTGAATGTCTTGGTAGTCTGTTTTTGCTGCTTTCCCTTCTTTTACCTCATGCAAATAGATTAAGATCTCCAGGAAAGTTGTTTACGTGGTTTAGTCATTCATTTATCAAATATTTGAATGTTTCTTATACACAGGTGTTGGGTATACAGTAGTGACTAAAATGTAGCCTTTACTAATGTGAATGCTATATCCTAGGGGTGCAAGGAAACATACAATCCACAGTATTTGAAGTGCTGCAGAGGTGTTACAGAGGAGACCCCCTTGGATTGAGGGGGAGTGGTTATTAGGGCAGGTTTGTCTGAGGAGGTCACATTAAGCAGAAATTTCAAAAATGCAAGAAGTAGAGTAAGTTGTTTGAAACATAAGGATAGTGAAAACATAAGGTGCTAATAATAAGGCCCTAAGGCCTACAAAACTTTGTGTCATGGTAGTCAGAGGAGGCAGTATTGGCTGGAATGTGGAGAGTAGGGATGAGATTGGGCAGGGCCTTGTCAGCCACGGTAAACAGTTTGAGTTTTGTTCTAATTGAAATGGGAAGTTGTTGAAGGGTTTTAAGCAGAAAAGTGAAATTCTCTGATTTACATTTCTGAAAGCTCCTCTCTGCTTACATGGAGAATGGATTGGGGAAGAGCACAGGAGGAAGTAGGGGGCTACTTGTGGTCATGCAGGCCCGAGAGATTGTGTTCTGGGCTGCGAGCTTGATTGTGGAGATGGGGAAAAGAGAGTGGACTACAAACTCCACGGACTTAATGTGAATGGACTAAAAATGAGGGAGTAGAGATGAAAGGGAGAAGGGAAAGATTAAGGAGGACTCAAGGTTTTCTAGCTTGAGCAGCTGTTTGGTTGTGTTACTTACTGAAATATTTAAGATATTATGGGGCATGAATGAATGGATTTTAAGGGGAAAATCTAGAAAATCCATTTGAGTTTTGGATTTTTAAAGTATCAGTCCTGTGAGATATCCAAGTAGTAAGAACAAATAGGAATTTTTGTATATAAATCTGGAAATTAGAAGAGAAGTATGAGTGAGAGAGCTATAGTGGAAGTTTACAAATGCAAATTAAAACTGGTGTCAGGAGATTCGATGAGGTAACTCAGAGAGATACAATATAGGAGAAGAGAAGAGGACCTAGGAATTGGCCCTGAGGGGCCCCAGCATTTAATGGTCAAATGGAAGAGAAAATGCTGGAAAAGAAACTGAGAAAGCCTAAGAAGTGGGAGAACAGTTAAGACCATGGTCTCCTGTCACTTTCTCAAGGAGGAGGGAGTGGCCATCTGAGTGGAATGTTGCAGAGGAGATAAATTGGGTAAGGACAAAAGTGTCTGTTGGTCTTGCAACATGGAAAACCATTGCTAGGAGCAGATGACAGGTTGCCCCTGTTAGACAAAGAATCAGAATAAATACATCCCAGAAAATAAACACGCAAAATGTTCAACATTCTTGGTAATCAGATGTAAGCTATAACAATCTTGATGTTGATTTTCACTTAGAAAATTAACAGGCTTTACAGTATAAGCACACCCAGTACCAACCACAGGAATATAAAACAGATGCACTTAGAAATTGTTGTTGAAAATATCAATTGGCAGCTTTAATATTAACTGGCTTTACTTAAGCAACAAAATGTTTTAAAATAGATACATTTTTACACCTGAGTCATCTATAGATTTGATTAAAATATGTACCTGTTAGTCTTATTTAGAGAGCTTTATTTAATATTAGTTTACAATGCAACTTCATCTCACATCAGTCTTAAGAGATGTTTACTCTTGTAAATGTAAAATTTTCCCCTTTGTTTGGAAAGATAGTAAAACAGGTTTATTGATATTGTTTCTATTCCTGGGAAGTAGATTTTTTTGAGTTAGAAGAATTTTCATACTTGCTTTATCAGACTGTAAATGCATATTTAAAGTAAGTCTGTTTTAGCTCATTCGTTTTTTTTGTAATTACAAAAATTACTTTCTTTTATGCTTCAGATGGCAAGATTATTTTATCATAAACCCCAGTTTGCCATTTTGGATGAATGTACAAGTGCAGTTAGTGTGGATGTGGAAGGGTACATATACAGTCATTGTCGAAAGGTAAGTGTGATAGGTTTTCAGTTTGAGGGTCCATGTTCCCCTGCCCCGTTTACTCTGTCCAACCAAATATCTGTCCAAAGAGAAGATTCTGAGTTATTAAGTAACAAAATTACTATCAGAGGATGATATCTATAATAAAGTTTTTAAACTGATAATAGATATTAGCAAAAGAATGGTAAATGGATTCTGTACTTTTTTAGCCTAATCTTAGATTTGAAACATAATATATTTAAATTTATTTCCCTTTTACCTCATTCTCTGTACTCCGTTAACAAGCTAATACATTCTGTTAACTTTACCTACATATCATCTGTGCTTTCAATCAAGAAAATAGTAATCATTTAGTAATTTTAATTCATCCATTTTTTTCTCTGACTTGGGCAGTATTTTACCAAAGCTTCTTTCAGTTATTTTTCTGTGGCTGTCTAGATTGGTTCCATTCTTTAAGTAATTATTCAGTAGTATCAGTTGTTTTTTTTTTTTTTTGTGAGGAATTGTTACTATTGTCTATATTCTTGTTGGATTTTGAGAATAAGAGCAGTATATCCAACCTGTTCTATAGTTTCATGTAAGTAAATAAAGTACATGAGACAACACTATCTAACTGTTCTTTGGGAGTTCACAGTAAATATAAAACACCGTGTTGCATATATACAGTGTGAATCCCCTGCTAGGCAAAGTGTGGCAATGGGTCAGCAGCATCACTCTAACCTGGTGCTTGTTAGAAACACAGAATCTCAGACCCTACTAAATCAGTCTGCATTTCATCCAAATTCCCAGATGATTCACATACACATTAAAGTTTGAGAAGCATTGGCATAATGATAAAAGAATGAATTTGCTGCATTCATGTTTGTGGGGAGGTTCCTTATTTTATATCTTTAATGGCTTATTTTCTATTCTTGAGTCAGTTTTGGTCATTCATAATTTTTATGTATTTGTTCATATAGATTTTCATATGTATAGGTATTAGAGGTGTTTGTGGTATTCTCTTACGCATAAAACTATGTAGTCTCTATTTGATCAGTGATTTAGAGGCTTAACCTGCAATTTCTTCTTATAGTCTAGCTATCATATGTCCCCACTTAAGATGAAATTCTCCTGTATAGATTCCATTTAAAAGAAGAAAATTCTTTTGGGTCCTCCCAGTTGATACTATAAATTATATTACTATAGTAGCATTTGAATATGCATAAACATAAAACAAGGTATGAACTCCTTAAGCTTAGAGCTCATTTATAGCTACAAAACCAATATAAATTTACAAATTAAGTACACACAAAATACAATTTCAAGTTTGCAACAATAGAGAGACTTGTAATACTGTTTTGCTGAAACTAAACCACTGGTTTGGGATTTAGTTATGAAAAGGTATAACATGAGGTCTGGATCTTGTATTTTGAATTTTGCTTATGTATTTTGACTTAAGTCATTCTGTTATAAAGAATGCCTTCATTAAGGTAAGATCTAATCCAATTATTATAGAATCATTAAAAAAAGAAATATCTGAAGTGAGCTCTCAAAAATCAATAACTGTTATACTATAGAAATGTATGCTTTATTAATAATATAATAAAGCACTTTTTCATGCAGTTCCTAACAAATTTGAGAAACTTTCTACAGGGCAGCCAAACTTATGACACATTAAAAGTTGTAAGTGATGTCACTTTGGTCATTAGTTGATATCAGCAGAAGTGTAAGCACAAACTTGGGCACTTAAACCTCATGGTAGAAATGATATGGAATATACTTAAGCTAATTTTTTAAAAATTATCAAAATGAAACTCAAATTTAGAATTCTTGATGGAAATTTCCTGGATACCCTAGCATGTAGCCCTCTCAGCCCCAAGAGAGCCACTTTGAGAAACAGGATCTAGAGCAGGGTTTCTCCACCTCAGCACTATGGCCATTTCGGGCTGGTAATCCTTAGCTGTTGGGGGCTGTCCTCTGCACTGTAGGGTACTGACCTCTGCCCATTAGATACCATTAGCGCTCTCAGTTGTGACAATCAAAATGTCTGCAGACATTGCCTGTCCCCTAAGTGACCCCCCTTCCCCCACTGTGAGAACCACTGATCCAGAGTATCTACAGTTGTATCAACTAGGGGTATTTTTTTTTAATCTGAAGTACGGGACTATAAGCTCTTATTCACAGTCTAAAATCCAGCAAGCTTTTAAAACCAAGAGTTTTCATTGTTTCATAGCAAACTGATTGGGTAGCCAAAACCTGGCCTAAGCTAACAAAAGATGTGTATGTAAATTCTTTTGTCCCAAATCAATGTCCATATATCTTGCTGCAGAAGCATGCATGTGTTTAAACTGAATTATGTACCAGAACCTTTTGGGAGTGGTAAATACTACTTTTCCAAAATCTGAATTCCAAGACATTACAAAACAAGGGTTTCCAATAGAAGATTATGACCATATATTTGAAAAACAAATTGACTATGATAGTACTATACTGATTTAATTTTCCTGATTTTGGCTTTTTGCTAATTTTACTATCCTTATACTCTTTTCATCTGTTTTTCAGTGAAATAGAAAATGTGCTAGGGTATATATTTTCTGCCACAAACAAAATAACACACATAATGAAAGTGCCTATTAATTCTCTTCAGCTTTTCTCTTAATGATTTTATTGATTTAAAATTGATTAAAGAACTTTGTTTTTATTATGTGGTTGATGGCCTATACTTTGCATTACCTTGAACATTTGGCATCAGTCATATCTTTTTCTCTTTGACCTTGATTTTGAACTATAGCTGCCAAAGGCAGTCATCTTAATAGCTTAAAATATGTATGCTGGTTTAATATGCGGCTCTGTGTTGTTTGTAGAAACCTAAATCATTTTCTTTGTATTAGGTTGGCATCACCCTCTTCACTGTGTCACACAGAAAGTCTCTTTGGAAACACCATGAGGTTTGTATTTCTTATATTGATAGTGAAAGTTTGTTTAAATTTGTGAACTCAGTGTGATTATGGTTTTCAATTTCTTGGTGTATATTCCCTTGTAAACGTATACCTTAAGGAAAAAGGTGATTTTGTTACAGCTTTATAAAATAAAAGAGGATTTTCTTAAATATTATAGTTGTCAGTTTTGAAAGCTACAATATATGTAAACAATCCCTAGTTGGATATGAGAGATACTGGAGAACCGGTGTATGGTTCTTCAGTTTGATAACTGTTGTGTAATAACTGACTAAAAATTGCATGATCTTATATAACTATAATTAAGTAAACTTTATCTTACCATCCAGTATTGACAGAGGAGGAAAAAGTCTTAAGTATTAGATGGCAAAAAGTTTAGTGCCATTTTTAATGGCGATTATGGCTGCAAAGGGGAAACTGAATAATGTCAGCCATGTTTAGTGGCATACAAAAAGCCACTAAATGCAATAGAAGGCTTTGTAATTGCTGCCCTAACAGTCTTCATAGGATGTGATATATAGGCCTCTTTTCCTCTTCTGCTAAATCTCAGAACAGACAAAAAGCCTTCAGCTAGAGATCGGAGTTGATTTGGAAAACCAGATAAAGGAAGTATTAAAGACTGCCCTATTGAACAGGCTTGCATTTAGGGCAGTTCAGCCAGTGGTAGCTCAGATACGTGGTGTTGGAGTTGAACAAGCTTTCTTATTTGGGGGATGCTTATTGGGTCTTCTGAAATAATGAGAAGCCCGGCATTTTAGTTATCTTAAGTGGGAAGTACTATATCCACTCCAAACAGTTATATTGTTGCTGTTTTTAAAAAGAGAAGACTTCTTCATTTGGACTTATTTGGAGAACCGTGTGCATTTCTGAATATAAAATTTTGAAGGTTTTAATGGCTTAAAATAGTCATTTCTATTCCCTTTCTAGTGTAATAACCTCTGCATAAATTCGTGCCAAAAAGTAAATTTTCTTAGTCATTGATTCTTTTTCTTCTGCTTTTTCCCCATAGTACTACCTGCATATGGATGGCAGAGGCAATTATGAATTCAAACAGATAACAGAAGATACAGTTGAGTTTGGCTCTTAAAATCTGGAGAACTGCACCTGCTTCAATTAAATAATCACAGAACTCATTTAGGAATACAAAATACGCTATAAAATGAAGTTGAGGTTTTTTTCCTAAAGCGACAAATTAACTAGATACAAAGTAATCAGAACAAGTTGTTAAAACATTTAATATGATATAGGATATTGCTAATTGTGTATATCTTGGTTTAATTATTAATATGTACTAAGAATGTCCTTATTCTTGTGGTTAAAAACCTGCCTAAATTAAATTGGGCTTAAATCAGTGTAACCTGATTCCTCCTGGGATGTAAACCATTTGAAGTCAGCTAATTTGACTTCTATGGCTCTATCTTTTCCTTCAATGAAGAACCCTACTTAAAACTGGGGTCATCACTAGTCCTGTTCTAACAAGTTAGTCCTGAGTTTCATATTCTTGTGCCCCATGATTATGGGAAACAAATCAGTGTATTTTCAAAATGTACAGCATTATTGCATAATAGCATTTATTACACAGTGGCAGACTTCTTTAGCTGCCACAGTTATACTCATTCCTTGTATATGTCTTGGGGTTCATTTGACTCCAGGACAGTCATTTGAATTTTCTTTGCCTAAATAATAAATGTGCCCTTCTCAGTCTGCAGTATTGACTTGTTTTGAGGGTTCTTTGTGGTAATAGAACATAAGTATATGTGCTGTTTTGCCTGCAAGTAGTTGTCACTATGTTTCACACCTTGTCTTCTCAATGTTGGGATATTAAAATATGAAATCTTTAATATGTCAGCCTCATGGTCTTAAGATTTTAGATTTCTTTTAAAGAATGTGTGTATGTTAGAAGCCCATTCATTTGAAGTATGGTGGTTACATGGTGGTAAACTCCAGATGAGCCATAGGAATGCACTACGTGAAGCAGCGCACTGCGCATGCACTGTGACCCTGTCTCTGCGATTTTGTGTTTAAAAAATACATTATAAGATTGTTATGTACATGGGAGAGTCATGTTTCCTAGGCACTGGTTTATCTCTGTAAATCTATGGTAACTTTTATATTGGGGTTATTATATTGAACTACCCTAAGAAAAATTGATTTCACCTCGGCAAAGTACCATTAATGATGACACATATTATTTGTACAGGGAGAACTGAAACTGAATATTACCAATAAGCTGGATGTGAAGCAGTTTTATCAAACTGGGATTTGGAAATGAGCATTTTATATTCTTGTTTCTGCATAACTGGTTTTGTTTTTTTGCAGAATTATCTATAAGAATCAGTGGCTACCGAAGTAAAACTTGATGTATCGATGCCATAATACATATTCAGTTTTTACCACTCTCTTTAGTAAACTTGTATACTTAACTTCTGTTCAGATTAAAAAAAAGATATCCTATATAACCTTTGCACATTCTCTTTATTCTGGTATCTAAATGCTTGATAGGTCATGTAGTCTTGACTTACAAAACACAGAAAGAACATTCAAAAAGCCCTTTTAGCACCACCCAATGTAGTTCCTTAAAAAGTTTAGTCAAATGTGGTTTCAACAATGAATATCTTTTAGAGAAGCCTGATAAAACCTTCACAAATGCTACCAAATAGCCAGGAGACTTTAAAAGGTATTCTCAGTCCTGGGAAAGATCTTAAGGTATAGGGGAAGTTTGAGATTTTCAGATTTCTAGGTTACCTTAAACCTACTAATAGCTGCCTCCTAATTCTTTCTGTAATGGATTCTTACCATCCAAAAAACCTTTTTTTTTTTTTTCATTTCTTCTTCCTTTTTAGATTTAACAAGTAATTAAAATACCTCACCGTGGCATAAAGGAAGATCCTTTTCCTGGAGAATCAGTGTATGATAACATAATGATGGTTCTAAGAAGGCCTACAATAAAGAAATCTGTTGTTTCCAAAACATTATTGACCACGGAACATCTTTTTCCACGTAATTCCTATTAGTGTCTTTTATAGACTGCACTGGGAAATGGCAGTTTGAACTGACTTAAGAATAAGCTAAAGAGGAGGAACTTTTGTCCCTGAGCAGCACACTGAATACCAAGTGTATCACTGTGTTCCAGTACCAAACTTCTACTTTGTATGTAAAATAGAAATGTGAACAGCTGTCCACTAACTAATAGAATAAAATGTACCAAAGGTTTGCTTCTGGAGAGGAGGCAGATTTTTAACCTCTAACCTCTTAGGGTTTTTGGTTGGGTCTGAGAATTAAATTGACAAAATAAATTAGCAGGAGAAAATCATTCAAGTTTATTTAATGGAAGTTCTATGTGATAGGAGCCTCATAAGGAAATGACCCAAAAAAAGTGGCAAAACAAGCAAGCTTTATGGAAAAGTAAACTCTTTGAGGAGACTAAAGGAAGATAAGAATTGTGGAAGAATTAAGAAAGATAAGGTTTGTTTGTATAGGAGTCTCAGTCTCAACATCCTGTCCTTGATGAGAATGGTAGTTTCTTCTGGTATAGGGAAGACATCTTCTATATGGGTGTTTTATCTCCTGTTTTCAGGAAGAAAAAGGGAATAGAGCACCCCTCTTGCACCTGCTTTTTTTTTTTTTTTTGAGAGGGCATCTCTCATATTTATTGATCAAATGGTTGTTAACAACAATAAAATTCTGTATAGGGGACTCAGTGCTCAATGTACAATCATTAGTCCACCCCAAGCCTAATTCTCGTCAGTCTCCAATCTTCTGAAGCATAATGAACAAGCTCTTACATGGTGAACAAGTTCTTACATAGTGAATAAGTTCTTAGATAGTGAACAGTACAAGGGCAGTCATCACAGAAACTTTCAGTTTTGATCACACATTATGAACTATAAACAATCAGGTCAAATATTAATATTCATTTGATTTTTATACTTGATTTATATGTGAATCCCACATTTCTCCCTTATTATTACTATTATTATTATTTTTTAATAAAATGCTGAAGTGGTAGGTAGATGCAAGATAAAGGTAGAAAACATAATTTAGTGCTGTAAGAGAGCAAATTTAGATGATTAGGTGTGTGCCTGTAGACTAAGTGTTAATCCAAGCTAGACAAGGGCAATAAAACATCCACGGATGCAGAAGATTTCTCTCAAAACGGGGGGTGATGTTCTAAGCCTGACCTCTGTTGATCCCCAATTTCTCACCTGATGGCCCCCCTGCGACTGTGCCTGTCTTAGGTTGTTCCTCCCTTGAGGAATCTTACCCGTCTCTGGCTAACCGGTCATCTTCCGGGGCCATACAGGGAAATGTAAAGTTGTTAAGTGAGAGAGAGGCAATATTGTTTGAAAAGGTTAGCTTTTTACTTCTTTGCAGATTTAAGCCCTGTGGCTTTTAGG